GCCGGGTTGGACTTTACCTCTTGGGACCCAGGCCGGTTCACTCCTTATGGTCTTCAACCTAATATTTCTTACTCTTATTGAGAAGGCTGAATATCTTTTTTGGAACTCCTTCATCTCTTTTGGGGTCTCTGGACCAGCTCACAATTATTCAAAATTTTATTACAGTTACTTAAGAAGCTGTGTGTATGTTAAGACCCCAACCCATATATCTGAAAATCAAGGAAGTGATGGCGTTTCGGTCTGCCAGGACCATTATCGTCTACGTGTATCGACTAATGTCTTCTTAATGTCTATTACATCCATCCTCTCTACACAAACACTGTTATTTAGTTATTTATTATGCTCCCCCATACCCACCCCGCGGGTGGTGGTGGATAGGGTTATAGAAGCATATGATGGAGCTCGGGAACTGAGCTCCACAGTTCATTTAGCTAAGCAAGTAACAGTCTTGTGAAGCTAGTGTGTATATACATTCCTCTTACTATAAATGCCTTCTTTATGAAAGGTATTCTTTCACCCACTATGAACTTTTCCCCATGCACCAGCCTATTTTTCTAGTTTGCATGAAACTCGCTCGTGAAGAAGTGTCAAAAATTTGTAGCACTCCAGGAAAATGCAAACTGCCCATCCTCTCTTTCCTGTTTGATTATTGATATCTTGTCACAGAACTCTAATAAGTTTGTCAAGCAGGATTTTCCTTGGGTGAATCTATGCTGATGCTTGGAAACAAAATTTATATGTTCTATGGGCCTTCTTTTAATCAATGTTTAATATCTTACAAGGAATACTTGTTAATGATATTGGTCTGTAGTTCAGTGGATCATATTTTTCCCTCCTTACTTGTAAATAGATACGGCATTTGCTACTTTCCAAATGCCAGGAAGTTCCCCCCTTTCTAGAGAGGTGCTGAAGACTATAACAAGAGGTCTATACAATGCTACAGCTGCCTCTTTTTAGGACATCTGGTGAGATCTTGTCGGGGCCTGTGGCTTTCATCACATCCAACTCCTCTAATTGTTTCTTTGCTTCCTTTAGTGTCACTTCTGTCTTCTGGTAGTGCCCGATCCATTACAAGTTATGTGGGATCAGCTCCGGTTTTGTCTTAAAAACTTGCCGATAACTTTTATTGAGTTCTTCACACTAACTAGCTCATCAAGATTGTAACTTGCTTAGCTAAATGAATTGTGGGGTTCAGTCCCTGAGCCCATTATGTGCCTCTGTAACCCTTTCCACTACCGCCCACAGGATGGGTATGGGGTGCATAATAAATGAACTAAACTAAACTAACTTCACACACTTCGTGTGGTCTTCTTGTTTGTGTAGTTTGATCACTTGTTCATTTACCGACATCTTCCTTATGTGATTATATAGTTATATAGTTGTTTAGGCTAATATAAAGCCTAATCCTTAGCCTTGGATGCTCTATCGTTCTCACATTGTTTCTCTGCTGCTCTCAGAATTCCAGTGCATTCGTTCCTCTCTCTCTTGTATATATGTTGTGGCTCTGTTCTTTGCTCCTTACATGTTCTTTCATTTCTACTTTTAGGCTTAGAGCACAGTCTGTTCAACTACGGGCAATTTTTATCTTGGCTTCTTTATACCTGAGGGCCGAAATAAATCTTTAAACTACTTTGAATTGCCTAGTTATGAAATCCATCATGTCTTGGGTGTGCGCATGCGTGCGTGCGTACGTACTTAGGAATCAAACAAATATTTGCTAGGTGTAGAAGGAAAGACTAGTTGGAACAAACAGGAAGAACACACCACAAGAGCAAGGTATGCCAGCCAAAGCCACACACGAAGGGGAACTTAAGTAACCCATAAACGAGGCCACATTCCCTTCATCCAGGAAGGGCTGACATCTGATAGGGGAACCTTAAATCATTATGCCGATAAACTAAATATTTCAGGGCTCCCCCCCCCTCCCCCCCAAAAAAAAATACTCAGGACGAATTCAGGAGCTGGAAGGTAAAGAGAGAGAAATACTGGCTAAACAAGAAGGCAGACAGAGGACGGTTCAGACGCACTCGACGGAAATGTCTCAGTTGAGTTACCACTCGGCTTTTTTAAAGGCCACAATTTTCTCAAGAACTGTATCGACGCTAACCCATTCATATTCATTTATCTCATTAACAACCAAACATTCGGCTTTACTGAACAGAAAGTCACTATAAATTAGGAAAATATGTCCATATTATGAGGAAGGAAAGAGGGAAAGGTGGGTGTGGCTGGCGTCGGTCGGTCAGAGGGCGGGGTGGAGGTGAGGCCGCAGGCAACACTGGGAAAATGACGGCAACTATAGGAAGACGCCAACCACACGCTCAGGACAAAGGCACAGCGCATGGTACACTGCACCGGACACAGCGCATGGTACGGGGTGAACACTGTACCGGACCCAGCGCATGGTACGGGGTGAAAACCACCGGACACAGCGCATGGTACGGGGTGAACACTGTACCGGACACAGCGCATGGTACGGGGTGAACACTGCACCGGACACAGCGCATGGTACGGGGTGAACACTGTACCGGACACAGCGCATGGTACTGGATGCAGACGAGGAATTACAATAACGTGGCTGAAATTTGTTGACCAAGCCACACACTAAAAAGTGAAGGGACGACGACGGTTCGGTCCGTCCTGGACCATTCGACAATCAACACAATCCACTTGAAAATGGTTCAGGACAGACCGAAACGTCGTCGTCCTTTCACTTTCTAGTGTGTGGTTTGGTCAGCATGGTACTAGATGAACACTGCAATGGGCATACCGCATTGCATGAGGTGAACACTGCACCAGGCATAGCGCATTGCATGAGGTGAACACTGCACCAGGCATAGCGCATTGAATGAGGTGAACACTGCACCAGGCATAGCGCATTGAATGAGGTGAACACTGCACCAGGCATAGCGCATTGGATGAGGTGAACACTGCACCAGACATAGCGCATTGGATGAGGTGAACACTGCACCAGGGATAAGCGCATGGTGCGGGGTGAACAATGCACCAGGTGAAGGGTGAACACCGCACTAGGCATCGCGCATTAAATGAGGGGTGAGCCCTGCACCGTTCATTCTGTATCCAAACAGTTGTTCCCATAAATACAACACGAACCTCAAGTCAGTTATATATTTTTTCGCGGGTAAATACATGGCAAATTAAGGCATATGGGAAAAATGAGGCAACTGCGAGGGAGAATATCTTCAGTACACTATGGCAAAGTGGTCCGGTAAAATTCTTGCTTAATTTCTATAGGGAGAGAAAGAGAGAGAGGGTCAAAGCAGGCACGAGCAGCACCTGAACACAGCTCTTATATGTCGACCAAAAGCTGCTCCAAGAATTCCAGCCCCAAGGCTCTCGCAGAGGAAAATTATATAGTACCCGAGGCCGATTTTAATTCCTACATGGCAACTGTGGAGCGTACCCAAGGGTCCCTCCAGTCAGCGTAGAACCGCCAATGTTCACCCAGTCCACACACTCTATGGTCCATACACTCCGCTGGTTTACACAGTCACTGTTGTAGCCCACACGTACACTCCTTTGGTTTACATACACTGCTCTGGCCCACACGCACACTCCTTTGGTTTACAGTAACTGCTCTGGCCCACACGTACACTATTTTTTGATTTACAGTCACTGCCCTGGCCCACACACAACGGCTATTTGGTTTGTGTACACACTTGTATACAAACCTGCTACCCACACTCTTGCTTGTGGCAAATTGTAGTGCAAGACAGATAGGGTGTGTGTATGTGTATTTACTATTTGTGCCTGCAGGATCGAGCAGTTAGCTTTTCCACCCAGCCTTTCTTCCCGTCGGTTGACTAATGTAGTAATTCCCAACCTATTTTCCTCCATCATATCTACTACTTATATTTCTAACACACACATCCTCAAGATGGAGCCCGTAGCAGCTGTCTAACCTATTTATGGTACTAGGTATCTATGTATGTTAGGTGAACAAGTACATCAGGTGAAAAGAACTACCAATTTGTCTGACACACACACTGGGGGCCTGGTAGTCTGGTGGATAGCGAGTAGGACTCGTAATTCTGTGGCGCGGGTTCGATTCCCACACCAGGCAGAAACCAATGGGCAAAGTTTCTTTCACCCTGAATGCCCCTGTTACCTAGCAGTAAATAGGTACCTGGGAGTTAGTCAGCTGTCATGGGCTGCTTCCTGGGGTGTGTGGAGAGAGAGAATGAGAATTCTAATACACTGTCACCTGCCTTAGTGTTAAGAGATCCGTTCAACATATTGTGCAGTGGGTTATTGAGCACTTAATTGGACTCTTGAATTTGTTTTTTTTTTCCTTTGAGGTTCCTCCTTTTCACAGGACATACTACTTTTTTTTTATGCTCTAACCTTAACAAACGTTCCTAGGCTCTCTCTTCGCCATTACGCTTCTTGCAGTTTTCGTCTCTTATTTTTGCCCTTCTATTTTCTATCTTTTTCTTCTTTATACCCATTTTTCCTATTCTTAATATTTTACTTACCTTTACTATCCCAGATTTTTTTTATTCTTGCCTTTCCTCTTTACTTACCTTTTCTCTTATTCCTTCCTTTAATCTTAATCTTTCTCCTTCATTCATCCCACTTTTCATCCCTCATATTGTTTCTCTCCCACACACTTTCCATTACAAGACTTGACAATGGTCCAGGATGGACCAAAACATCATAATTTCTCCATTTTCTGATGTGTGGTTTGGATATATTTATAGCTATGGTGAATAGGTGGTTACATGGGGTTTATAACCCTCTTGGTAAAAAAGCATCGCCTGTTTTGTCCCACATTGCAGCTTGTAGAGCTTGAAGCTATTGCCTCTTTGATGCATTACAGTAGTCCTTTTAAAGTAGTAGTCTGGATTAATATCCTCCAACTTGTCATATATTTTAAAGTTTTTTTAAATTGATTACAAAATTATTGTACATGAAGACGGCACATGAACCATCTTTCGCTGAAAATGTCTCAAAGGCACAGTAAAAGTAAATTACAGGAATATACAAAAAATATTTGTTTATTCTCATACAATAAATGTTTAAATTTATGTATTTACTTAATTTAAATACATTAACAGGGTTTCAATTCTTTTTGTGCAACAATTAAGCTTTGTCTCACAGTTGTCAAATAAAATTTAGTTTTACTTATACCAGGAGTTAGAAATTAATTCTGGCTATCTGATAAAAGGTAACTCCTTTATGGAAAACATAATTAATCCATTGGAGCGCTGATCTGCAGGTACATCAAGAGATGAGCCAGTAAAAATGTAAACTATCAAGGCCTTGGCAGCTGCACTTCTGTAAATCCGCTGCAACCGTTTGTCTAGCTTCTTGAACTGGTGTTGACGACTCTCTGGTGTGGAGCATTTGTCTAACTTGGTATCCATCTACAAATTTATAATCATCATTAGGTAAACACAGAATGGGTAGGTAAATAGGAAATTAGTGTTCATTAAAAAATATATATACTGTACTATATAAAATAATTGTGGAAAGGAGGGGTCTAAATGTAATAACTGAACAAAGAGCAAATGAAAAATTCTATATTTTAACAGTTTATATGCACAACCTTGCATTGGTTTTGGGGATCAATGTCTCCGTGGACTGGTCTTTGACTAGACCTCCCAGTTGATGGTCTGGTCAACCAGGTTGTTGGACGTGGCTGCTCACAGCCTGGTTGATCAGGTATCCTACAATCTTGTGGTTATCTTGAGATGATTTTGGGGCTCAGCATCCCCATGGCCCAGTCCTTGACCAGGCCTCCCTTTTTGCTACACATCCCCAGGAAACAGCCCATAGCAGCTGTCTAACTCCCAAGTACCTATTTACTGCTAGGTGAACAGAGCATCAGGGTGAAACAAACTGCCCATTTGTTTCCACCTCCCCCGGGGATTGAACCCGGAACCTTAGGACTACGAATCCCAAGTGTTGCCCACTCAGCCATCAGGCCCTTAAGCTCATAAAGGAGAGGTAAAATCTAATTTATTAATATAAACTAGCAATCATTCACATCAATTGTTTACCTTTCGTTACCCCATTACATTCAATGATCTTGAACCGTTACAGTGACTACAACAAATCTTTTACATTCTTTACAGCATTACTGTATTCCCCTTTCATGAGCCTAAAAAGTTTCATGAAAATAAATGTTAGGACTTAGTCAAAGATAAAGCTAACTACAGATATAAAACATCACCATACGATAACTCCAATCCTTCTCGATAAACACATTAATAAAATAGTTACCACTTGGGAAAATAACCAATTTCAATACTTAATCATATACAGCACTATTTTTGGTAATGTGTAAGTGTTTTAAGTTTAAAGTAAACACCACGAGGCCTTATCAAGATACCACATAGAAACCTCACACAAAGTCAAGGCAAAAATCAAAAAGCATTCTAAACCGGGATAACTAATAAACAAATGGCAATAAATAAAACTAATGAATGGAGCAGACATGGTGGGCACGATTCCTTTCACCTGGTGCTATTGTTTACCTAGCAGTAAATAGGTACTGTACCTGAGAATTGGGGAGCTGCTGTGTTTTGCATCCTAGAGAAGGTCAGTGTTGGCCTAGGTTGACCTCAATAAGACTAACAGGCTTCCTTTCAGTCCCCAACTATGGCAAACTAAATCAAAAGCTATGCAAAATGTAGATAATGGAATATTACCAATATTTTCATATGCAAATGTCATTATGATTCCAATTTGCTTCCATGATTTACCTTCATATGAACATAGGTCAGATCCTTAAACAAGCAGATTTCAGCTGTCCTCACAGACAGCTGCTTGTTATCAGGAACAACTTCTATATGAGAAACTTTCTTTCCCATGAATGAAAGCACATCTTCATAATTTTCCATGGTGGAAGGTGTTGCCAGCATTGCCATGCTCAAATTGTCTGCATACTGGAGATAGACAAGTCAATAGATTAACCACATTAAATAGGCTCTTGAAAAAACAAGAAAATTATTAAAACAGATATTTTGTGGCATTTATTATTGAAACATTACATTATTTGCAGCATTTTACAAAATAATTATATGAATAGATTTCTGACGAGTTGCAGGGGATTTAAGAGTGTTGCATAAGATACCACAAGAATATATTAAGGGAAGATTATGCTGCACAGGTAAGAACACAAGCACAGTAGACCCCACACATAGCATGAAAGATGATCCAGGAAAACCTCATACTTTACAAAATAGTGCATGCGGATTTAATGTCACAGCAAACCGAGATGTGTTTAGAAGTCTGTTTTCCAGATTAACAGCCTCTCATTTACCATTGATCCCAAGGAAAACAAGGGGTTCAATATTAGCCAGGAAGTAAAAACTGATATTACAGCCAGGAAGTGGCACAAGACCCAAACTCAAAAAGAGAAGGAGCCAGATCAGACATATTGTCCCTTTATCACAGCTGGAAGAACATTAAATCTTGAATAGCCGATGAAATTAGGCAAAAACGTGTGAACCTGCAAAGCACTGGTGCAGTCTCTCCATCATATGGGATGAGAAAGAACGCTTGTGGAGCCATTATGGAGGGAATCAAGCTCAAATTTAGAAGGAAAATACAGATAATCCACAACCTTGAAAAATGTCTATAATTTCCAAGAAACCAAGCCCCAAGAATAATCAAATGGAAACCAGAGCATCCCCCGACAGTGATGCCAAGACTGAGACCACTCCTCCACTACCAAGAAAAAGGTGTCAGTCTTTGAGCTTGATACCTGCTTCATGGGGTTCTGAAAGTTCTTCTACTCCTAGCTCTGACTTGTGAGAGCTTGGTCAGCACTTCTTGAAGAAAACTATCTAGTTTTGTCTTGAAGATATCCACGGTTGTTCCGGCAATATTTCTTATACTCGCTGGGAGGATGTCGAACAACCGTGGACCTCTGATGTTTACAGTGTTCTTTGATTGTGCCTATGGTATCCCTGCTCTTCACTGGTTCTATTCTGCATTTTCTTCCATATTGTTCACTCCAGTATGGTGTTATTTTACTATGTAGATTTGGGACCTGGTCCTCCATTATTTTCCATGTGTATAGTATTTGATATCTCTCTCATCTCCTTTCTAGCGAGTACATTTGGAGAGCTTTGAGACGATCCCAATAATTTAGGGAGCTAAACTCAGGCTCAGTACCCAATGGTGAGCACAAGGGAGAAGAAAGCCTACCGATTGACTTTTACTGAGCTACCAATATATATTAACCAGTCGACACCATTTTATCATAAACATTCAGTTTCTAATATCAGAGCAATAAATAACAGCAAATTTGCATCATACAGTACTAATACATGAGGGAGTACTGGTCAACTGCTGCAACATGTTGCTGTTTTATGGTACAGTACTGTATGTTATGAAATATTTTTGACCAAATAAATCTTTCTATATCTCAACTTCAAGTGAAAGATTAGAGAAATAAAATACTTAGACACAGCCAACCTTATGAAGTATCAACTATTATACACAGAAATCACAATAGTGTGATGCATCAAATGAACAAATCCACAAGGACCGTGACGAGGGTTTGTAAGGTCGGTAGAACTTCCAGTTGCAATTCTTTTACCATGTTGTAGCTCAGTCGATTAAGGCAGTGTCTAGGATCCTCTCAGACGTAGGTTCGAACCCTCGTCACGGCCCTTGTGGATTTGTTAGTATCAATTATGTTCTGCAATCTTCTCTCCAACTATCCAAGATTACAGTTGAATTGAGATTTGATTCCAAAATTCAAATATTCCTCGCAATTATGTGCCGATACTTGAATTTCAGGCATTTTTTCCCCATTATGTGGCTGCTCTTACCACACACAGCTGTGACACGAACAAACTGTTTATAACGGTCAACAACTTTTCAGCTGTCAACTAAAAAATTAACAAAAAATACTGCATTATTAACTGACCTGAAATAAACTTGTAACATATCTTTGCTGGGTCATACATTCGGTTTCAATCCGATTTACATAATCTTCTACAAGGTTCTCTGTGTCTCTCTCAAGGTTATGTGGAGAATCTGGGACTTTTCCACCATGGATCACATCACCAAATGTTACATCTGTTGAGATAATATATAAATAATTCCTCATCAAAATTCTTTAACATGCAGTTGTACTATATAATTACTCTTAAAAACTACAAGTTTCTATACACTTAGGGTACTTATAAATATCTCACCAGGAAGAGAGGAAGGAGTCTGTAAATGCTAGGGGTTACCTGTCCCTGCCACAACTAAGACAGATACAGTACTAGTAAACACATCAATACACACTAAATATCAATGACTAAGCATAATCAGTCCAAATTCCTGATTTTCATAAGGCAACAGAATCCACAAAATATTATGAATAATATTTTGGGTGAGCTCTCAGGCCCCCCCTGGTAATAATCTACCCCCTTGTAGATGAAAGTAGTGTACAACAATACTGTACTAGTCTTTAGCAGTTATTTATGCTAATATGGTACATTTTCCAACATTTTCACTTTATTATCTCTATAGATTAAGATCCTATTATTTAATGAACTAGATGTACAGATATTCTAATTGTAGCCTATTAATTGAGACATTCCTGAGCTGGCAAATCAAGATACAATTTTTTTAATGATTACTGAGGGGGAGGGGGATGGTTGTAAATCATATGTTCACTGCAAATGATGTGGGAAATTTTTACCCACCATATCTAATAATCATCTAAGAAATGTATAATTTCTATATCATATCAAAATCATATCTAAATCGTATCAAAATCATATTAGAATCATTATAGATTCATTTTATAGCTTGATCCTGGATGACAATGGCACCATGAACACGTACGCAACAGGGGCCCTTTTGATGCCTACGTGACTTTGTACATGATCTCTCAAGGATCCAGAAGCTTCTAGAAGGATTTGTTAATTAAAAAACTATTGGAACATTGATTCAACATCCGGTAGGGATAATATCGAATCCTTAATAAGATTCAGTGGTACTTTCAAATACTACTTATAATCTTAATATCCTATATCTAATTATATTATAATCACATCTTATTTCAATCATAAGTCTAGACTGTAAAAATAATCAATCAATATTCATAGAAGGCTACCGTGCACAGAGAGCATGGCAGGGCGATGGGGGGAGTGAAGCGCCAACCAACAAAGCCCAGCGGCACTCTGCGTTTGTTTACAAATGAGTGAACAAGTGACTGATCCTTAGCGAACATTACCAGCTCAAGGACACCTTATCTAACATCGTTATCACCAGTGAATACTCTCTAGAACTGGGGGAGTACCTGGACAATATGTACAAGGAAAATCCTAGAACATTTATATAAAATAGAGTGTATAGTGGAGATCAGTGACACAGTTTCCTCCACCTTCATTCATAAACTTTTATCTCGAATCATTCTTCTGCAACTGCAGGATAATCACGTAGCAACGCTACCAGATCATCATACAGCAACGCTGTAGCAAAATATCGTGCCTAAACTCAACAAGAGAGAGTTAATCAGTCTGGCAAACTTGTCAGACAGGCACCCCGACTGGCAGAGAAGTATATTGAAGGTTATTTGGTATATGATTGGCCAATTGTATGCTTGTGTAACTTTAATATCCTATAAATCTGTCTGTTGGTTAAAAAGCGAGGCTAAGCCTCACATTTCAGTAAGTTTATTAAAATTGTAGTGTAGCTGTGAATCTTATCCAAGCACTGAACCTCATGAGTGTCCATTGTGTCAGAAAATAATTCAGCCTCAATAAGTAAAAACCTCACAAGTGTCCATAGTTTTGGAAAAGATTCAGTCAAGCTAACTGTATAAATTGAATATGTCTGCATATATATTTGAATATATAAATTAAGTTATCAATTGCTTGCTTAGTTATTTATAAGTTATCATATAAGTTCATTTAATTGAATATAATTTCTAGTAGTTACTTAACAGTATTTAGACTACATTTAAAGTCATTATTATACTTTTACAATTTAATTTGTTGTTTATAGTATAAGAATCTATTGGCTGTAAGTTATGGTGCTAGGTTAGATTATGTATGTTTAAATCCCTGATTTAAACAGAGCCAGTGTTCAGTCATATAACTGAATTTATTAAATCTTATCCTTGTATAAAATACAAGCTGATGTGAGATCCCTGTCTACAGGTGGACTGGAACTTCTATCAACAAGTCATTCACCCCACCTGTCCCTTACAGCCCACAATCTGTCATTAGGAAAAGAGGAATTAGGATTTACAACCCTAGCTAAAGATTTTAGTTGAATTAATTTGCAGACAGTAAATTTTTAATTTAGTTCAGTACAAGTCCCTGTTAGTCTCCTCTTATATCAATCCCAGCAGGTTTTTCCCACAAATGAAACAAAATTATTTGTTCAATTGAAATTCAAATGCCCCCCCAAGCAGATTTCCAATAAGAAAAAGAAAAATTAACTATAAAAATCAGAAAATATCTCTACTGGAGATATTTAATTATGAAACTACGACAACTATGAAACCGTAGAAAAATTTACCCAACAGTGTATTACATCTAACCATGACCTACTGGAGTCAAATACGATAAAAAAAAACAACATAGTTTAGGCTATGTTTTCAAAATCTAAAAATACATATGGTATAAGTAAATGAGGAGGAAGGAAAAGATATATGGACCATGTGGAACTGCAGAGAAAATTGGCCATGTGAAGTGTGTGGTAGTAAAGTGGGCCAAGAAAAATACGGTACTCTATGATGGTTGGAAAATGAGCAGGATGGCTGATGGTAGACTTAAATAGAAGACATACAAATATCCAGTAAAGAGAATTAATAGTGTACAAGTAACTCAATAAAGACAAAATGAGAAAGAATGCGGGAATAAAACAGGCCTGATTATTTTAAATCGGGATGGCACATATGCTTTACGTTATGTCAGACTTAGCACAAAAGAATTCTTAAGTAAAACATGTCATCAGACAGTGATAAACAAATAGATAACAATATCTTAATTATCTTAACCATATTTCACACTTTCATGTGATGTCAACATAGATTCTCAAGATTAACTAAAAGTAATTCTTTACCATTTTTCAGCTTAAGTTGGACGAGCTTGAGTGAAGCTCCAGCATCTTCTGTGGGATCGTGACCATGTTTGCTTCCCTGAATATCTTTACCAAGAAAAAGTTTTGTTAGCAGCTTCAAAGACGAACGTTTTTTCCTTATATGACTCAAATTGTACACTAAAGAGGAATCAATCACATACGGGTGCATGACCTGAAAACATAAATTATTAAATATAATATACATAAGTAAATATACATAATATTTTATATATATAGTATATATACTGTATGAATGTGTATATATGTTTGTAAGTACTCACCTAGTTGTCCTTGAGGGGGTTGAGCTTTGGCTATCTGATCCCACCTCTCAACTGTCAATCAACTGGTGTAACTGATTCCTGAGCCTACTGGGCTCTATCAAATCTACATTTGAAAGTGTATGGAGTTTGCCTCCATCACATCACTGCCTAATGAATTCCATTTTGCTAACTACTCTATAACACTGAAAAAATTCTTTCTAATGTCTCTGTAGCTGATTTGGGTACAAAGTTTCCACCTGTGTTCCCTTGTTCATGTTCCACCCATGCCAAATAGTTTGTCTTTGTCAACCCTGTCAATTCCTTTGAAAATTTTGTAGGTGGTGATCATGTCTCCTCTTACTCTTCTGTCTTCTAGGGACGTGAGGTAGGATGTATGTAAGTACTAGTATATATATGTATGTATGCATGCAATTGTTTCTATAAACCCTAGAGCAATACTATACATTAATTATTTAATAGCCCACTATTGCTTTGGAAGTAAAAAGTTAATGACAAATGCAGCACAGTGTCATTAACCCTTACAAGGAACAGATTATTTAAAATTGATTATGAAGTGTACTCAGCTCAACAGCGGCCTGAACAGCTACATTACGTTGACACTTTGAGCCCATTGGCAGCAATAAACTTGCCTCACATAAAGTCCTTCACTGAGACAGACGACTTTTACAAAATGCTTGACAGAACAGTTTCTACATCTTTTAACATTTTTAGACATCTGGCATTAAGAACAGATACCTGCTGTTCTGGCTGGCACCACAACAAGAAAATATCACCCAATGAAGTAGATCTAATTCCATCAGGAATAACTTATCCCTGTTCAACACTTGGTCACCATTACAAGTGCTGTAACAATTCATTGTAAATATACAGAAGGTATTCTTTTTCTTACTAGAAATGTAAAAAAAAAAAAAAAAAAAAAAAAAAAAAATCAACAAGAAAAATACCTACTAATGTAGGTGATTAAACTCCTGATTTATATTAAAATAACTATAAGTAATATATATATACTGTACACTGTATATACATTTTTTCTCATATAACATATTACAAATTATAATGCAATGTAATAATTTTTGTTTGTGAGTATTAAGTGTTGTTTTCCGATTGCTTATGTCTCCAAAATACTACAGGCTATTATTATAATACAAAATACAAAATGGTTAATATTTCCTTAAGACATTGTTGTGATGAAGACAGTTTAGGGAAGACATCGTGAAGGTACTTGAAGGCTGTCGACTCATCATCTAGAGCTGTGACATTGTTTCGCCTTAAGGTACATTCAAGAAGTCTTAATTAAAATTCCAGGCAAAGTTTTGAGGAAATAATGGTAATTTTCTACACTTTGGAGGCATAAGCTATCAGAAAACACTTGCTACCAAGGGAACAATAAAAATTGTTAGTAATAATAATTTAACACACCAACAAGTCATTATGTAAAAATAATAATGTATTCAACATGCTTGTAACTCAAAGATTACACAAACCTTCATAGCTTTTAAATCAGAATCCAGAGAGTGGCCTACAAGAATGGCATCCGCTGGCAAGAGTTCCTCAAGATCTTGTTGAACATCTTTAACTCGCGTGTAGACATTATTCAACATGCTTTTAGTTATGCCAGAAAACTGTGTCAAATAGTTGATGATCGGATTTTTTGGCTTCACCAACTTATGGTAAATTAGCTGTGGAGGATATAAAAACACACATCATTAAACAGTTTATATTGATTAGGTACAGTATATCTCGTTGAATAATAGACTTAATAGATTTTAATGCTGTACTATGCAACATTACTAACCTAATTATATTGTGATTGCAGTGAATCTTAAGACCATATTTTTAAACTATGCCAGGCATTTCAGATGCTCAATGTGTTAGTTATGCTGTTCTTGGTAAGAAGAAAGCACCTAGTTACTGTAATTATAAACATGAAAACATGGCTGAGGTATGTGATTTGCCACATAAGTAAATTAATACTTCATCTGTAGCAACCCACTCCAGACTGGAACCTAAGTAGCAGAAGTTACTGCAGTGGGCTTCTTGTCCCATTCTGGATAATCCCTATTTAGATTCAACCCCTCTCCCATATGCTGCAATGGACAATATTTTTAAAGCCAGCTATACCATTTGTTTCAGTGATGCATGCCAGCATCCTATCCCATTCTTCTACCACCCTATTACAAGGCCAATATTTCCCCATATCCTTCTTCCTCAATCCGAACTTCTGCAATGTATAGTCATTTTTAAAAAGATTCTCTCTACACCCAAATTTCATGTTACATTTGATAAGAAGCTATTCACACAAGGGAGCAGATCAAAGAACAGTATTTCATGGAACTCAGTGCCCTACTTTCCAAGTTACAATAAATGGTATTGCATATACAGTATATTTATTATTTAACACTGTACAGTGATTCAAACTGCATAAAATCATAATGCAGGAGGAAACATGCCTAACCTGTTATATTTATGTTTGTGTGTTGTACTAAATGCCTTTTACTTGACTACATACAAACAACCAAGCAAAATATTTATGAATTCCCCGAAATATTTGCTTTCAGTTCACACAGAACATTGTTGATTAAGATGCTAAACAAAACCGTACCTCCATATCCTCATTCACCACGGAGATGCTGGTTAGCTCCAACTTCCTGGCAGTTGTCAAGCACATCTCACAATCCACACCAAACATTGGGGAAGTGGCCGTTACCTGTGCAATATGATATATTGAACATGTTGAAAATATATTAATTATCAGGGCAATATACAAGATCTGGAATCATTATTAATTAACTTTCATTATTATTACACACACACACTCTCTTTCTCTCTCTTTGGTAGCAGTCTTTCTTGTAAACATATGTTGTTGAATATGACCGAAAAGGTAAGATTAATAATTTTAACACAAATTTTCTCAATATTTCTTATGTTTCTCTTCACTGTTGATGGTAATTGAAAAATTGATGCTTCTATATTGGTTCGGGGTCTTGAAGTGGGTAGAATATAGTTGTACATTAATTGGCTGTTGATTGTTGATTGCCCAGCAATCAACAGCCAATTAATGCACAACTATATTCTACCCACTTCAAGACCCCGAACCAATATAGAAGCATCAAGAGGAAGTATGGGCCAATAGGCCTTCTGCAGTTACAGTACTTCCATTCTTATGTTTGTATACCCATTGGTTCGTGTTCTATCATGTGCAAATGTCAATCACCTCACCCAAAACTTTTGTACCATATCACCTCACCCAAAGCAAGTATAAGTATGGATGTATTTTGTATGTTTACAGGTTACAATTGTGTGTGTAAACTAAAGTCTTTGAAAATGTAATAAGTTATTACGAAACGCGTTCAGGCGTCAGACTAGAAATAAAAATGAATTTTGGAGAATTGATTTTTCAATTACCATCGACAGTGAAGAGAAACATAAGAAATATTGAGAAAATTCATGCTAGAATGATTAATCTTACCTTTTCAGTCATATTCACCATCATGTATATATACATATATAAATTTCATAAGTAAAATCATAATATTTTTAAATGACCTCAATGACAAAAATAATTTTGCAGATAATGCACAAAGGTAGAAAGAGCAAGTAATTTGACAGCTGATAATGTACTCTGCATAGGGACTACTCTATAATACATATAACTTGTAAATTTGTGTAAGCAAACCTTGTTTGTAAGTTTCTAATAACTTTGTCTAAAATTCTTTATTAGCAATTGTACTTCCCTCTTCTGATTCCACTTTTTTAAGCCAGCTTCTTGTTTTATAAAGCTTTCTTTAATGTTCACTTTCCTGTGAATTTCCAATTCATCACAGAAATATAACAACAATCATGCAACTTTATTTCTATGCACAAAGTCAAAAGAATGTTAATATAGCCCTTCTCTTCATAAAACCATACCTTCCTAATATGCCACTCTTCTTTGTCAACTATATTGCATTTTAAATAAGATAACCAAAAATAATTACCATATTAAAAAAGCAAAAAAAATTGGCCAAATAAACTTCTGAATGTTCTCTTTGTTGTTGTTGTTGTTGTTATTCACAACATTACTAGATTTGTTTCCTTTCCTTTCAGATTTTCTATTTCTTCACAAGCTTTTATTTAAAATAAAAATCCAATAATAAATATTTATTCAATGACAGTTAAGGATTGACAGCTAAGAACTACTGTATTGTACTATGTTCAGAAAATCAATTATGGTACAATACACAGAAATATTGCCTAGACAAAACGGATGGTAAATACCTCACTATAAACCTTGCGTGTAAACTTGAACTCTGGGTCTCCGTATCCAGGGCAATCAGGAACTGGTGATGGAAAACCATGTTCGATCATATCTTCTACACTCAGCAACAATGACCTCCTGTCAAATTTATCAGTGTGGGATGACTTCACTACCTTTCCATCTTCATGGATTAGGGAAGTCTTATTCGTTTTCATAATTTCTTTGAAGACATCCTTGCTACAAGCAACAGGAAACATCGAGACAATAGATCGGTTTATCAGTTTATTTTCTTCAGCTCCTTCGAGTGTTTTGAAACCTGTAAAAATCAACAACGTTGAATGTAATGAAACGCCATTTTCTGAGTGAGCTGGAGGCTCCCTGGAGCTATTGGACTAATATATGCTATATTAATCTCGGGCATCAGTCAATAGAAGTTCAGTCTACTCCACATACAATTAGGGTATTGATGAATTTATGAATCAATTTCATCCATGCAATAATAAAAATATACTACTGTACTATAAAACTATTAAGGTTATACAGAAAAGTAATTATAATTTGTATTATATACTACTGGACGAGCTCGCTTATCTGGATTCCACTTAACTGGATATTTGAGTTATCTTGCCAAAAATACACCTGGATAATTTTCTGGCAAATCTTCGCCATATCCAGACAGAAATCCGGATAACTGGAGAGTAGGTTACGCAAATTTTCAAGACCTATAGAGTATCACACAAGAAGACAAACTACAACAAGGTAAGCTGAAGTTTCTCTTTTAAATTATATTTTTCATTTATAGTGTGTGTGGAAATTTAAATTGTTGGGTGTTGTGGTACAAAAAATTGCCAATATGGTCAATTTAAAATTGTTTGTGTCAGAATTCTGCTTATCTGGTTCATCAGGAGAGGGGGTCCTTTTCATATAGTCCAGACAAGTGAACTTAAACACTACTGTACTGTACATGGTTTGGTTCCAAGATATGCTCTTTCCAGGTTGAAATTTAATACAGTATTCTAAACCATTTTTGCTATATAAGGAAAAAGAGTGGTGTGGGCAAAGGCAGGTGGTGGTAATTTCCATACTAGCCTACATGGTATGGTTTCGGTATACACTATCGGGGACAGTGAGCTGCTTTAGCTCATCAAGGGTCCCTGTATCATTGGCATATTAGACTGTTGTATTTTCAGTACCTTAAGGCATCAAGGCATAAGAAGAAATTTTAATGCAAGTAAGCTTGTTCAAGTACCAAATATTGCTCTAAATATTTTTACCCAAAACTATGTATTAAAATGGATATAAAATGTACCACTACAAGGCTACATGACCTACATCACTACAGTGCAGTGTGTATATCATATTATTTATATTATATATATATATATATATATATATATATATATATATATATATATATATATATATATATATATATATATATATATATATATATATATATATATATATATATATATATATATATATATATATATATATATATATATATATATATATGATAAAATCTTAAAGTAATATAAAATGGCATTCTTTAGATATTACACAGACACTGACAACAAAAAATAGAAACAAAGTATCCCATAAAAAACTAGGAATACATGATAATGAAACACTATATTTACCACTGGGCTACACTGCCCAATAAAAAAGGAAGCTTGGCTTCAATCAAATGTAAGCACTAAGTTTCAAGTTAATATGACAAAACTTTCTCAAAATACTGAACAGAAACTTAAAATAGAAATATATATACAAACAAATGACAAAATCATTGTATTCCTGCCAGACATACCTAATGAAGAAACAATCTTATGGCTACTTACTAAGATCAAATGATTCTTTCATGGAGCATAATTACCTGACACTACTTTATCTTTTAGGCGCCTTGAGAGTGGGATGTTGAGAAGCTCCTCAAATGGCCCAACATTGTATCTTGAAGGTGCCAGTAATTCTAAACAATGATGCATAAGAGAAGAAGTTCGTGGCAGTGCTTTTGACAGAGACTTTGGCAAGTCCTCACTTCCTTTTGAGGTTTCATCTTCTGGGCAATCTATATTAGTATCTATTTCATCTTCTCTCTTATTACAAGCATCAGAGTCCATTGTGTCAGATTTTTTCTGAGATTTCTCCGTGATAAAATTGTCTGAAGTGGCTTTTTCCTCTGAATTACCCACTTTATGAATTTCTGATGAATCCACTTCATTTACCAAGTCACTAATGCTCACTCCCTCAATGACAGCAGTGATAACGTGAGAAAACTTTCTGGTACGAATTACTTTGATCCATCTGCAATATAAAATCGTTAGCACATTTCTTACATAATAGAAATACGAATTCAAGTATGTATCATAATTAATCTAATTCTGTGGACAATGAAGTCCAGTGTCGAAATAAATATAAAGACTAATAAAATCAATGAAATATATATATATCTAACATGGCTAGAATTTTTTATTTACTGCATACAGTAAATTCATACCGTAGCAAATTTAATTCATAATTCTAAGAAAGGACGAAGATTGTTAAATCTTTTATATTGTGGTTTGAGATAAGAAAGTTCATGACCAACAGGGAAACTGTCAACTGCTCCAGTCAGAAAGTTACCCGCTACAGTACTTCCAAACATAAATTAACAGCAGAAGCTTCAGTATGTGCATCTATTATCATTACCCTATTTCCCACTTTCATCGGGCGGGACAAAAAGGTGAATAATACTGCAAAGCAAAACCAGGTTGTAGATATTAAAGAGAGAAATATTTTTCATACATTTGTTATATAACTTACACAATTTAGCATCACAAAGCAAGCACAACCACACTCCATGTGTCATCCACTAGCCCGTCCTCCTAAGGTTTCCCAACGTCAAGAAAATGGTCAATTTAAAGTGTCCTCTCCTAACCTACCAGAGGACCCAAAACAGAAAACAGGACAGTACATCACTTTCGCGAGCCGCTTCCATTTTCTAGCATGACAATTTTTGGCCTTATGTAACTCATACGAGCGAAATGCGACGTTACTTCTAAGAGGACTTCCACTACTTCATAATACAAAGTGTGCAGTGCTCATCATGAATTTTTTATTTTATTTATTTATTTATTTATTTATACATACAAGAGTTCTTACCTTCTTGTACAGCCACTAGCACTAAATTTCACTACTAAATTTTCCTTGCTCTCCTCATACAGATTGTAAAAAAATCAACAGGAAGATAAAAATACACAGAAACATTAACAATGTGGGAACTGGTAACATACAAAATAATAATTATTTTGAATTACAGTAATGTATGTATAAAGCAAGCAGTCAGGTTCTACTTACCTAGGTGTATCCGGAGACCTGTTGTGAAGGAGTGAAAACATCAAAAAACTCCGAACATCACTCATAAATAATGGGAAGCGCTTATCAGCACTCAAATTCAGACTGCTGCGCTCTCCAGTGTCATTGAGAAATGCCCTTGGCCAAGCCTATGAAAAGAAAAAACTTTACCATAAAAATATCTATATACAGCCCAAGAGACAAATCTAGATAAGTTTTGATTGCACGAGGATGGTGAACCTAGATATGGGCTAGCACATTTTGGGATACAGATTGGTGTAATGAGTAATTACCTAAGTGTAGTTACAGGATGAGAGCTACGCTCATGGTGTCTCGTTTTCCCAGTACTCTTTGTTGTATAACGCTTTGAAACTACCGACGGTTTTGGCCTCCACCACCACCTCCTCGCTTAACTTGTTCCAACCATCTACAACTCTCTTTGCAAAAGAATACTTTCTAATATTTTTTTGGCATCTTTGTTTCTTTAGCTTGAATTTGTGTCATCTTGTTTGTGAAGTTGCTGGTTTCAAGAATTCTTCTTGTCAATTTGGTCCATTCTGTTACTGCAGTATTGTGTAAGTGGTGATCATATCGCCTCTTTTTCTTCTATCTTATAGTTTAGGCATGTTTAATGCCTCTAGTCTCTCCTAGTAACTCATGTTTCTTAGTTCCAGAAGCCATTTTCTGGCATTTCTAAGTACTTCCATCTTTTGCTTCACTCCATTAAATGTCACCCTTAAGGGGTGGTTCTTATCTTTCTCATATTTTAATATTCTCCTAAAATCACTGACATTTTCCTTTGAATTGAGGCCCCTTGTCTTAAACTTACTATTTTCTCTCTGATTTTCATCTCTCCTGCTGCTGCTCTGTCCACCCTAGATGATATTTCATCTTCTAAACACCCAAAAATTATTTTGGGCTTACTTCTATCTGCAGTGTTTTGTGCTGATTTAATGTTGGTAACCAGTACTTTCCTAATTGCTACCTAACTTCTGCTTCTTGTTGGTTACTTCTGGTTTTGACTTCCAAACACACTTCCTTGATATCCCTTTCTCATTTACAACTTGTGCGTACTTTAATTGCCTCTTTGTGCTTTTCTAGTTCTTTATTAACCTCTTCTATGCGAGTTGTCCATGATGTTTCTCTTTACATATGAGTGTAGGGGTGCAATGATTACAGGGAATATAATAACCACAGGTTCCTGTTTGATGATGATAGGATGTGGTGAAGTTGTATTTAGTGTTATTGTTTAGACGACATTCGGATTTCTATAAAAAAAAAGAAAAAAAAAAAAAGAATAATCTGGGAAAGAAATGCAGTGGTTACTATGCTGTGAAAATAATATAAAAATTGAGACTGTGGGTAAGATCCTAAACAGATCTTGCATTTTCTATATGGTCAAACCATAGAACATTCAGCACTGTACATACAAGAACAATATTTTAGAAGCACAGCATGATATAACTATGGGAATAAGGTCAGTAAACTTAGGAACAGGTACCAATTTAGGCATCTTTACATAATAAGCTCTTGGCAACCTACCAGAGTAACCTTGAATTCAAAATACTGTACATGAAAAGTCTCTGCAAAGAACCCTTCTAAGCAATTAATCCAGAAAAAAAATTAAAAACAAAGATGAAAAATCCACAAGAAATTTTCCATAATGGTAATAACCGAATCTTATAATTTCATAGATTTACCTAGTACAGTAGTTAGTGCTGCAAATACATGCAGATAAATTCAAGATAAAGGCCCCAAAAAGCCCACAAAAGACTAACCATCTTCTCTGCATCCAATTTCTTTTTCCTCTGCTTCATCTCTGCATATTCCGTATCAGTGAGGCGACGTTTACTAGGTTGAGGGACTTCTATTGGCTCTTCTGCATTACGTTTGGCTATAAGCTGCAATCATATTAAAATTTCAGGAACTACTGCACAGTTCAGTACTACCATACATTCTATCTCATAACATTTCATAACAATAGTCACTGCAATAAGAACATCAAATAAAACTAAAATCACAACCATTAAATAAAGATAAATAAAAGGATGTAAATTTCAAGTGTAAGCAAGACAGAGGCAGTATTTAGCTGGAGCTCTGGTTGTGTTTTGAAATGAATAATGCAAGGTGTAGTGAGGGAATTAGTGGAGCTATATGGAACTCTGAGGATAGAGATGGATTTGCTGGAGGAACAGCTAAGGCAGAGGAAACAATGTGTCTACCCTCAAGGGGGGTTCAGTTACATTGAACAAAAATTAGGGAAACGACAAGTTCATTAAAAAGTGAGACAGGTGAGATAACTGATAATGATACTGAGATGAGTAAGTAGTATTTTAAATAAAAAAAAAAATTCTTCCTATTTACTAAAGAAATGCCTTTCTTCATTAAGCCTTCATCCAAATAAGTCTATAGTGGTGGGGAAGAGGACAGGTTGACTAGTACTGGTATAGAAGTCACCAAGGAGGATGTTATTAAACAAATAGAAAAACTCGAGCCAAACAAATCCCCAGAGCCAGATGAAGAGTTTGCCAGGGTGCTATAAGAATGCAAAGTGGAGCTTTGAGAGCCATTGTGAGCTGCCACATATGGGCCAATGGGCCTTCTGCAGTTTCCTTGATTCTTGTGTTCCTAATTACAGTACAATATAATATTCATTACCTGTATTTGTGTGGCATGATTGCTTCCAGTCTGATGACTGTTATCTTTCATCTTCTGAAATATAAAATACTTTTCTGAGTAAAGTAGTTAAACATAAGTTATAAAATGAAGAGTTCAGTGTTTGAAACACCTTGGGTTGCTCCTATAAAGTATCTAAAACCTACAGGTACACTTTACACTATACCTTGACAAAAAGCTATAAAGATGGACTTGCCACATATTGGTTGCAGAAAGACTGTAGATGGTACTGTATCCCAATCCACAATTGATCTACCTATTCAATACCCCTCCAGGAAATATTTGGAACTTAAGGAGCCTCAATTATTACCCTGCAAACTACTTCTGTATAAACAAATTGAAACTACCTGAATACCACTAGGACTAAGCCCCCATAAATCAGAAGCAGCTATGGCAAAAAATCAAATGCCACAACAGGAGAGACCAGGTGGAACCTCCTAACTGAGAGAGAGTACTATTAGAGCACTAACACTACAGACTAGAGTACTGTACATACAATTTAAATAAGTAGAAATGAACTTCGTCAAAATGCTTGTTTACAATTTGACCGAAGCCTACTCCCCCCCCCCCCCACAACAAAAAACAAGATTTTCTTACTTAAACAGAGACCAGCACCTACGCACCATCACTTTCCAGCCTGGGCACTTAACAAATCATAGACATCAAAAGGGGTCCATGACTTGGTAAACATCCAGGACTGACCGAAATGACCAATTACATTTCATGTACGTACATTAAATGCGAGGTAAAAAATACATTACTATTTTAAAATCTTTCAGAACCAGAAAAGTTACTGAAAGGAGAAACCTAAGAAAATGTGCTGAATGTGCTCAAGGCCTACTGTTATATCATTGAGTGCACTACTGCTGCAAATACTGTATATAAATTGAAATGCTGTGAATTCATAGAGAATAATCATGTTTATTGGCTAATTTTTTGACTACTAATTTATTAACAAGCCCCTTTTTAATCAATATACAGATTTACTCATGCAGTAATACCTTACTATTAATGTATTTTTTACAATGAGTACAATGAGAGTACAGAGACTTGAAGTTTTACATACTATAAAAGCCACTAGCATGCATAGCGTTTCAGGCAGACTATGTAAACTATGTAAATGTAATTTTAGAATGTAAACTATGAGTTGTGTAAAACTGTAATCAAGATGTATCGTATTGTCTCAATAAAGGTACTTGAGCACGACTCTTATTTATTTATTTATTTATTTATGCATATACAAGAATGTACATAAGGAATGTGAGGATACAATTATGGTAATTACAGTCTTGTAAAGCCACTAGCACGCGCAGCGTTTCGGGCAGGTCCTTAATCTAAGAAAATTTTAAGGAGGTAAATACTTGCAAAATTTATAGACAAAAAAATGATAACAGATTACATGGAATGAAAAAAAAAGATGAGAGAAAATTATAGGTACAGTATATTAAAGCACATAGGTAGCTATGATTGATTGCAATGACAGCTTAAAATGGTAGTTGACAACAAATTGGTAGGCACAATACAGCAGAAACAATATAAGATTGATTGCAATGACAGCTTGAATGGTAGTTGACAAAAATTGGTAGTCACAATACAGCATATGGCTAGCACATAAAAGAAGACAGCAATGAACACAATGATAAGGTTGTTTGATATTACATAAAAATTAGGAGATTGGGTACCACTAGGTACAGAGCAAATTTAAAGCTCAGTGTAGGAAACTAAATAGATGAAGTTAGGTACTTTTTGGTTTTGCTTTTAAATAAGGCAAAAGTTTTACAGTTTTTCAATTCACTAGGGAGTGAGTTCCATAGACTAGGTCCCTTAATTTGCATAGAGTGTTTACACAGATTAAGTTTGACCCTGGGGATATCAAAGAGATATTTATTTCTGGTGTGGTGATAATGGGTCCTATTACATCTGTCCAGGGAGAGTTTCAGAGCATGGTTTGCATTTAAGAACAGGGTTTTGTAAATGTAGTTGACACAAGAGAATGTGTGGAGGGAGTTAATATTTAGCAAGTTTAGAGATTTAAACAAGGGAGCTGAGTGTTGTCTGAAAGCAGAGTTAGTTATTATTCTGATAGCAGATTTTTGCTGTGTGATGATGGGCTTAAGGTGGTTTGCAGTGGTAGACCCCCATGCACAGATACCATAATTAAGATAGGGGTAGATTAGTGCATAATATAGTGAGAGGAGAGCAGAGTTAGGAACATAATATCTGATTTTGGAGAGTATACCAACTGTCTTAGAGACTTTCTTAGTTATGTGTTGAATGTGGGTGCTGAAGTTGAGTCTCTTGTCTAGGAATAGGCCAAGAAACTTGCCATCATTTTTATTACTGATGTTAATGTTGTCTATCTGTAGCTGAATTGCATTTGATGATTTGCTTCCAAATAAGATGTAGTAAGTCTTTTCGATGTTTAATGTTAGTTTGTTCGTTGACATCCATAAGTGGACTTTTTTTAATTCATTATTCACAACATTATTTAGTGTATGTGGGTTGAGGTTTGAGTAGATAAGGGTAGTATCGTCAGCAAACAATATAGGTTTGAGAATATTAGAGACATTAGGCAGATCGTTTATATATATAAGAAATAGTAGAGGTCCTAAGATGCTGCCCTGTGGCACTCCAACGGTAATTGGTAGAGTGGAAGAAGTTGTATCATTGATGGTTACATATTGGTGTCTGTCACTAAGATAGGATCGGATGTAGTCAAGGGCAAGGCCTCGGATTCCATAATGCTGGAGTTTAAGTAAGAGGTAGTTGTGATTAACAGTATCAAAGGCTTTTCTTAGGTCAATGAAGAGTCCAATCGGAAACTCATTTTTGTCAAGGGCTGAGTAGATAATGTCAAGGAGACTAATGATTGCATCATTGGTACTCTTTTGGGACCGGAAGCCAAACTGGCAGGGGCTGAGTATGTCGAATTTTACGAGGTAGGAATAGCGCTGTTTGTAAATAATTTTTTCAAATATTTTTGATAGAATGGGTAGATTTCATATTGGTCTATAATTGTTTATGTCCGCCGGATTGCCTCCTTTATGGACTGGCATTACTCTTGCTTTTTTGAGGATATCAGGGAAGGTGTGACACTCTATAGATTTGTTGAACAGTAGTGCTATGGGTGGGGCAAGGGCATGGGAGGCTCTCTTGTACACAATGGACGGAATTTCACTGGTGTTCCCTGCCTTGGTTTTTAGAGAGTGTATGATGGACACAACATCTGCCGGGCTGATTGGTGAAAGGAGAAGAGAGTTTGGATAGCTGCCTGAGAGATGTGTTAATATGTGTCTGAGTCTGTGGGATTTTACTGGCAAGATTAGCACCAACCGATGAAAAGAAACTATTAAATTCATTTGCCATTTCTAAATCAGTTGACGGTATATCCCCATCCTTGTAGAGCTTTATTTGGTTATGTGAGTGTTGTTTAGTTCCTAGGATACTAGAGATAGTTTTCCAAGTGTTTTTCATGTTGCCTTTTGCTTCATTGAATCTATTCACATAATATGCAAGTTTTGCCTTTCTTATGATACTGGTAAGCATTGATGAGTACCTTTTAGCTACTTCCTTTGAAACTAGGCCAATCCTAACTTTCTTTTCATATTCATGTTTCTTGTTGATTGAGTTGAGAATGCCACTTGTGAGCCATGGATTGTTTAATCTTTTGTCAGTTACTTGCTTTGTAAGAAGGGGACAATGAAGGTTGTAGAGGCTTAGAGTTTTGGAGAGGAAGAGGTTAGCTAATGAATTTATATCATGGGTATTATTGAATTCAGAATCCCAGTTAATATTGTGAAGTGCCTCTGTAAGATTGTCTAAAGCTGATTCACTGTGTAGCCTAAATGAAAGTTTCTTGCTTTTTGGTGGTGTTATGTCCATGTTCGCTATGAGAAAGGTAGGATAGTGGTCAGTTGTTCTGTCGTAGATTATACCAGATACAAGGGGAGCTGTTATGTTTGTCCATATGTGGTCCAAGGTAGTGGCTGATGTTTGAGTGACTCGGGTAGGTTTGGTGATAGTGGGGATTAGCATACAGGAGTTCATGCTGTTAAGGAAATAGTCAACTTGAGAGCAGTTTTGTTGACCCAGGTCAATATTAAAGTCTCCTCCCAGAATGATGTGGTTTTTGTTGAGATTGTTGTTTATAATAAGATTCCTTAGGTTGTCTGAGAAAGAAGCTATGTTAGTATTAGGAAATCTATAGATGGCTCCAATAGTCAAAGAGGATTTAAGGGATTTAATTGTAAACTGAGCAAAAGTATATTCACAGTAGTCATCTCTGTCACTAATAACACTGTTGCAGATAAATGTATCTCGGTAATATATAGCTGTGCCACCACTTTTTTATTAGGCCTACAGTTATGAATGGCTTTATAACCAGCTAAGTTATATAACCAGCTCTTATCCAACCAAACAGTCTTCCTCCAAAACTTGAGGAAGGTCAAGCCTCCAAAAACATACCTTATCTCGATCTTCTTTGTTACTCTCTGCTATTGCCAGATATGCCTTCATCTTTCTTTTTTTGTTTTCTAGACGTTCAATTTTCCTAGTTGACTTTGTCTCCATCACAGCTGGAGGAGTGTGGAGCAGCAGGTCAGCAGCCACTCGTCTGCATCACCTGTTATAACGTGGAGCCTCTCTCTCTCCTCTGTTACATCTGGGACGTGCTCTAGGTGACAGCTTGGACGGTATTATGGAGCTACTGTGGAGGGAGAGTTACTGTGGAGGAAGTTACTGTAGTGGCGGCCGGACTCCGGTCTCCACTCCCAGTCCACGCGGAGGCTGGTCGATTCGTACATGACTGTTTTGGATAACGTGGGTGGTTCAGTATACGAAAAACCAGTTCATTCATTGACAATTTTGTATACACGAACCCTTTCGTATATATATATATATATATATATACTTATGCGCTGGCTCTTGTTCGCTGTCTTGTGTAGGAGATAAATAGATAAATTAATTATATATATAACTATATTTATATGACGGTAAAAAGGAATGGTATCACAGTCTCTCCAATGCAGATGGAATGCCAGTCATAAATAAAAAAAGTAAAAAAATAATTAGACTTGTGTAATCTTCAGTGTGTGTCGATTGTAGGATAAAGCACAAAAGAGAAAAAACTTTTTTTTTTTTTTTTTTTTTTTTTGAGATATATACAAGAGTTGTTACATTCTTGTACAGCCACTAGTACGCGTAGCGTTTCGGGCAAGTCCTTAATCCTATGGTCCCTGGAATACGATCCCCTGCCGCGAAGAATCGTTTTTTCATCCAAGTACACATTTTACTGTTGCGTTAAACAGAGGCTACAGTTAAGGAATTGCGCCCATTAAATCCTCCCCGGCCAGGATACGAACCCATGACATAGCGCTCGCGGAACGCCAGGCGAGTGTCTTACCACTACACCACGGAGACATTTAAAATAGTTTACTTAAACAAATGACTTAAACACTTAACATGAACAAAATAATATCCAAAACTTGGCTATATTCTAAGTATACAAAATGAACAAGATAAACAATTCAATTTCTTTCTTTATTATGCACCCCATACCCATCCCGTGGGCGGTGGTGTAAAGGATTACAGAGGCACATAATCGGTTCAGGAACTGAACCCTCTAGTTCGTTTAGCTAAGCAAATAACAATCTTTTGACGCTAGTCACAAAATTATTAATCTTATATATACATGGACACACTCTCATACATACATATATATATATATATATATATATATATATATATATATATATATATATATATATATATATATATATATATATATATATATATATATATATATATATATATATATATATATATATATATATATATATATATATATATACACGTATACATATATACATACACATACATATCTAATCATCCACACAAATACACACATCAATAATAAGAAGAAATGTCTACATTTCTTCTCTTAGTTGCAAGTTTTGCAGCTTCGTCTGCAATGTCATTTCCTATTATTCCCACATGACTTGGCACCCAGTTGATAAGTACCCGTCGGCCTTGTCATTTGAGTGTTTGCATTAATGATATGACATTTGTGATCAGATGTATGTTATCACATATGTGTCCTTGTTGCAAGGTTTCAATGGCGGTTTTCAAATCTGTATGTATGATAACATGTTGTCGGTGTTCAGCAAGAGCATGTTCCAAAGCCTTTTGAATGGCTAGCATCTGGGGGGTAGAAATAGCCTAAGCTACTCTATACCTTTGAGATGTATTTCTTTCTTGTCTCAATAAACATACTTGAACTTGAACTCATCTACCTGATTTTTAACATTTTATGCTCTTCTACAATGCTCTAAAAGTAAAGTTTTCCTTTTTTGTTCTATAATTTCATGTTTATCTTATATTTACTTCTATGCACTAGCTGACAGGTATACGTTGTTTATGATACGTATATGAATTATAAATCAGTAGGTAGCAACCGTTTAATTTTTGTGGTAACCAAACTAATTTGTAAAATTATTTGGCTTATGTTTCTGATGCTTTAAGAGTAACACTTGAAGGCAATTTAAATATTTGTAAAAAAAGTAATAATTTATAATAATTAATTGTGTTTGGGGACAGGCAGCCAGTGTATATATACACATTAGGCTTATATAGAAGTCTTCCCTCAAGGTCAAATTCTGACCCTTTCCAGGATGTAACCCTACAACAGGCTGACTAACTCCTGGGTACCTATTTAAAATATGGCACTTAGTGAAAATGGCGATGGGTAAAATTTTACCCAAACCCTCCTACAGTTTTCAAAATACCGGAAATATCGCAAATCTGACTCATGAACGTTATTTTTGGGTCAAATTCTGGCTCATTGTACATATTTGGAGTTGCAAATTACGACGTGTTTACCGAAAATATGGCAATCAGTGAAAACGGCATTGGGTCAAATTTTACCCAAACCCCCCAACAGTTTTCAAAATATCGGAAATCTGACTCATGAGCGTTATTTTTTAGCCGAATTCTGGCTCATTGCACATATTTGAAGTTGGAAATTACGAATTGTTATACCGAAAATAGGGCAAATTAGTGAAGACAGCGATGGGGTCAAATTTTACCCAAACCCCCCTACAGTTTTCAAACTATCGGAAATATTGGAAATCTGACTCATGAGCGTTATTTTTTAGCCGAATTTTGGCTCGCTGCACATATTTGGAGTTGCAAATTACGACTTGTTATCATTTTATAAGGTGAACAAGGGCATTAAGTAACAAGAAATGCACCCAACAATTTCTGTCCAGCCCGGGATTTGAACCCAAAATTCTTGATTGAGAGTCGAGAACGACAAAGTAGTACTGTACAGGTAATCATATCATATTTCCATCTTTTAGATATTTTAAGAAATATTATTATTCAGTGGTTTAGCTACCAACTAGGAAGCAGTAAGAATAAAGTTATCTTGATTTTTTATTAACATTATACTGTTATATAACATTTCAAGACATGTTCTGTCCTTTGACTAGGTAACTCAGAAAAGGCGTTCTAGGAAATGCAAAAGTTCAAAAGCAACCTCAACCATGATAAGAATTATAATGATCCACTCAAGACGGGATGCATGCTGTTCACTTAAGTGGCTCTTAAGCAGCTCCATCAGCTCTATACAGTGGTTGAGTTTCACATTCATCACCTGCAATATATTGCTTGAGGTTAGAGAAAGTACAATATGCAATCTGTGTACAAAAAAGTAAAAGATAATGGAGGAACCAAAGCAGACATACTGTACATAGTATGAGAAGGCCTTTATATGAAAAAAGTATTAAATGCATATGTACCTGTGAAATTATAATATTAAAACACAAATCTAATTTATGTCATTGTATAATGCAGCTGTCCTGTTTGACATTTAACCAAAATGCAACTAAGGATAACTGGAAATATCTTCAATAACCAAGATCATGTGCAACTTTTACAGTAACTGGTATTAGGTACCAATTAAAAGCTTTCTGGAGATTTTGGCCATCTTAGATATTTCCAGTTATCCATATATATATTTTAAAGTTGTCAATCTCTACTGTATATGGTTGGTAAAGAAATTGAAACTTGATTTCCTAAACTGCAACCAAAGGCCTAACCAGATGAGAGAGTTGCAGAAGACTCACCTAAATGAACTCCTAAGGACTGTTTCAAGATAATGATATTTATGTGCTGGGAAAATAAAATGAAAACGGAAGCAAATCTTTGTCAACTATAAATGGAAAAACTTAGAGTTGTGAATTAGGAATTCTGTAATTATATTTGTACAAGAAATAATTTTGTATATTTTAATTTTATTCACAATTACATAATATAAATACAGTAAGCATCTCTTGTACATGGAATGGCATACTCTTGTTGGAGACAAAAGGCTAAAGTTTTTAAGATTTCCTAGTAAAATGTATTGCACTGTGCATAGTACAGGTTATGCAGAATAGCTTGGTTGAATTAGGATCCACCAACATACTTACTTTAATAATGGCTTTTAAGACCCAAAACAGAAAAAGTAATAATATTTAATATTTAATAAATTCAGTATAGCAGTTTCCCTTTAGTGTTAGGGGTGATAATCATTAAGTATGACTTGCAAGAAAGATATTGGGTAATAAACAAGAAACTATTATAATTTAAGGAAACTTACAGAGGTACGCTTGGAAACACTGAGGTGATCTGAAACTCTTTTATAAAGTAGCTCCAAATCTTCATGATCCCAGTAGAAGTCTGGCACATCCAAAAGATCCGAGCTCAGATTTATGAGATGACGGAGGGCAAATAGCTGTCCCATTCTCTGCAACACCTGGTTCTGGCTCAGCACCACATGCCCCGTTTTGCTCAGCTCCTGATGGCGATTTAGCAATTGCTTTATGTCACAAAAACAAAATCTTTTCAGGTCACCAGTAACCTTTGCATTTATGCATATGAGTGCTATACTGTATATACATACAGTATTTTTACTTAAATCATAAAACTGGGGATAGAAATGATATGAAAATTATGTACCAATATACACCTGCCAAATAATTAACTACAGTACTTTTAAGGTACAGTACAGTCAGAGCATTTAACAAGAGTTGCATATTTGAATCTTTGTATGGTTTCATTAATTTATAAAAAAAACATTTGTTAGTATATTCTTATCAGTGCATAGTGTTAGATTATTTAAAATATATCAGCCATGTTATTGTGACATTATCAGCAATACAATATATGCTTTCGAGTAGGAAGATTATCTCTGAGGTCCATTTCTTCACTTTTGGATAACGGATGCAACACAACTGGCATCTTTCTATGGGTCTGTCATATCTATGTTTAAAACTGGTCAATGATCTGACCTAAACCTCCTCTTCCTTCAATTCAATTTGTGTTTACTACTTATAAACTGAAGGAGTACGCTACTTCATTACATTCATATGGCTCATCTGTGTTTCTAGTTTTTACTTTTTACCTGAGAGCCACTAACACTAGTGGCCTCAACGAGGACAGGAATGCAGCAGCTTGTTGAAGGTCCCCCCCCAAGGAAGGCCTTGATCTTTTCCAGTTGTACTTTAAAAGTTAAGGGTTTTGACATTTAGAGCTTCAGTGGGAAGGCAGTTCCATGGGGTTATAACCCTGTGAATGAAAAAGCATCTCCTGTTCTCAGTCCTACATTGTGGCTTGTTGAGCTTGAAACCATTGCTCCTTGTTTGTGTTGCATCTGACCTTTTAAAGACATTTTCTGTATCAACATCCTCCAAATTGTTCAGTATTTTAAAAGTTTCAATGAGATCCGTCCTGTTATGCCTGGTCTGTAATATTGTTAGCCTTGTGACCCTCAACCACTCCTGATATGAGAGTTGACTTAGCTGCTCTGGAGAAAGTGCAACACTGGACAACAAAAATCATTCCAGAGGTATATCCTTCTGAAGATGAGGTTTCCATGCTTGGATACAATAATCCAAACCTAGAGATGAGCTGTAATAGTCTGCCATTGTCCACTTAATGTATTTCAGTGGTGTATATAGCATGGAATAACCATGTCTCTTCCTAGATCCTCTTTCCTTCAATGTTTGTAGATTCAACTCTAAGTCTGTCCATGCTACTCAGGTCTCTTATGGTATCATCCTTGTGGCAAGTCTCAATACCTTCTAATTTTTTGTTTCATAAGATACGAGTTCTATATTGATGCTGACTACTCCAGGACTTGTCTAAAGTTTCCACATACTGTATTGCATTCTGAAATGTTCTTTGCTTAGTTTCCAAAAGGCTGTTTATGTCTATTAACTTTGCTGAAGTGCACACAAATTCTATTTATGTGCACTTCTGCAATAAAATTTGGCATGATGCTCACCTCTAGGTGACTGAGCTACGACATGGTTAAAAGAGTTGAAACTGAAGTTCTACTGAACTTACTGTGTGTGTAATGATGTATGGGCGAAGAGGGAGAACGGCCTATTGACAAAGCTCGAGTACATGGGGAAAATGTGTAAAACCCTGGTTTGTCTCTCGGAGAGGCTGCGGGATCCAGTAAGTTCAGTAGAACTTCGGTTTCAACTCTTTTTAACCATGTCATAGCTCAGTCGATTAAGACTGAGATGCTCCCGGACGCAGGTTCGAATCCTCGTCACGGCCCTTGTGGATTTGTTCATTTGATACATCACTATATTGTGATTTCTGTGTGTAATGCTCAAGTATTGTTAGTTGTTTGAAAATTCAGAAGATGAATTAAGCAGCACATAAAAGAGTGTTCCTAATGTTATAGTGTGATAATGCAAGCTATAAGAAGGAACTCATAATGTTATTCTGTTTATGCACTTGAGTACACAACACAAAGACTGAAGGCTTCCTACCTCTGAAACATATTCAATATTATCTATGTATTTGTCAAGTGATGATTCCCATATCCCAAGTTTAACAGACATTGCCATGGAATTACTAAAGGTGTACTTCTCCAAGTCTGTCCGGCCCTCTGGGTTCAGGTTGATTTTGTCGTTTATTAATCTTGTCTTTGATCTGATAATACAAAAAACCAGCGTTGAATGTAATGAAACATCATTTTCTGGACGAGTTCCGAAGGCTCCCTGAAGCTATCCGAAATGATATGTGCTATATTAGTTTGGAATCATCAGTCACAGGAGTTCTTATGCCTACCGGGAACCGCGAGCCAGAACCTGGTCCCCTCAGAGAAGCGCAGAGAGCAATGGTCTATGAGAACTTTACTTTTATAGTATGTCATAATTGCCATCAACTGGGAAAGGACCCAGAAAGGTAGGTGAATCAAAACAGTCTATTTTCTGGTTAACCTGTGCAATCTACATCCCAAAAAATTAAGGTAGTAAGGTAGGCTGCACCAGCTGCAGTTCACCCACACCCAGCCAGTAACACTCCCCCACCCGTGGCAAGACGGAAAGTCCAAGATCCCCGACGTACCTCAAGCAATGAAGTCCTTTAGTGGGGAGTGATTCCCAAACACCCCAGGGCAGATAACCCTGAAATGCAAGGGTAATACTTTCAGAGCACCTAGGGAAGATTATTCTATGCTTTAAATGTAAAGTGCTCATAGGCCATTGCTCCCTGCGCCTCTTTGAGGGGACCAGGTTCTGGCTCATGGTTCCCGGTAGGCACAAGAACTCCTGTGACTGATGACCCCAAACTAATATAGCACATATCACTTCAGATAGCTTCAGGAAACTGACGAGGCTCTCCACAGAAAAAATGAATAATAAGGTATTGCACAAAAGTAATAATACAAATTTACCAATGGGCTTATAAGTTGCAATCTAAAAGCAGCAAATAGTATCAAATCCATAATAAAATACATCCTGTGAAGAATTCTTTTCTTCAGCCATAAAATAGTTTGCTTCTACACGTCCAAGTTCCTATACAATATATCAAAATATATTTACAGTTACATTTAATGTAAGTCGGAGACATCAAATGCCACACAATATACTACATAATTTAAACATTGAATAGTAAGAGGTACCCCGAACAATTTAGGAATTAAATGGCATCAGCTCATCAAGAGGACTGCTTCTGAGAAAATCACCCTTAACCTAGAAGGGCGAAGAATTTTATAATTTCGTACAATATCAATTTGATATTATATTTAGTGAAACTAATAAATTTACATAAACATTATTCTGAGCATATTCTGATAATAAAAGACCCATAGCTCTGAAAGAAAACATTTACAATATAATATAGAAAATATGGTGCATTACAATGACACACTGTCATACTTTTGCAAGTGATACACTGGTGGTGCCACAAGACAAGAGCAGCACAGACCAGTGACCAAAGAGCTGAAACTCAACCCCCGCAAGCACAACTAGGTGAGTACAGAGCACCTGAACATAAACAATGACTGATGGATTCATTCATAATAAAATATTTAGCTGTTACAATAATGGTATTTTTTACAACTCCTTAAAGTACAATGATACAAGTAATAACTAAGCTAAAAAAAAAAATTTGAAGGGCATAAAGTCTAAAATGATTTTTTTTATAGTGATGTATGCTTTAGGGATGAATGAATGGACAATGATAAACTGGAAAGAGAATGTCTTCAAATGAATGACAGGAGGAGGAGGAGTGGGTGTGGAGAACACATGGGATGTGCTAATAAGGCTGGGTGCAAGTGGTTTCTAAGAAGGTAGCAAATTCATCTGTGCATAATGTATATGGCAGTGAATGAGGAGCACTGTATGCCTGGTCTAATAATGAAGCACTGGGGTGTTGCTGTGGATGACTGCTGCAGTGTGGTACTGTTTATATATATGTGGTCCTATATACAGGTACAGTATTATGTGAATGATGATAAAATGAATGAGTAACATTTTTATTGTTTTATTATTTAATATCAATAACCTTTTTTTCTCCAAGATAATTAATTCGTTTTGAGCCCTGCAAGAGGGAAACAAGGTACTGTACTTATGATAATGTTTGTATGAATGATGTATAACTACTGTAAACAACTACCAATATTTATTGCAAAAAATCCTAATATACAACTCATTGTTGTCAGTGAATAGAATATGTCTAGTGATGGTTAACATTCTGTACCAAGGACAATGAAATGCAGTTAACATAAACTACATGTTTACGAAGGGACTTTTAATTCCATATGAAAGCTACAACAGTGTTGTAAATCAGGCAAAATGGACAATCATTTACCAAGGTAGCCTCATTTAAGTGGACCCTCGCCACACAGCATAATTATATTTGATCTCACACATGCATACATGCAATCCTCATCACACAACATGTGGTTATCACCCCTCAGACACACTGTATAGTCATTACCACGCAAGAGACAACAAGACGTGTGATCCTTACCACACAACAGGCATATATTGCCTATAGATTACCTGGAGTTACAGTATTTTACTGTAGCCTGGCCTGGGGCCAGTCTTTCTTGGTAATTGCCTGGTCTGACCTGGTTGACCTGGTTGATGGGGTTCTGGGAGTTCTTCTACTCCCCAAGCCCGGCCCAAGGCCAGGCTCGACTTGTGAGAGTTTGGTCCACCAGGCTGTTACTTGAAGCGGCCCGTGGTCTATAAGGCTGTTTTACTCTTAAACCAGCAAAGTCATATAACCATCACAGTCAGGTTGATCTGATAACTCCAGAAATCTGTCAGTTTTTCTTTAAAACTTCTACTGTCATTCCAGCCATATTTCTTATATTTGTTGGTAGGAGACTGAAGTCTTAGACCTTTGATGTTTACAATGTGTTCTTTAATCATACCCCGAGATCCCCTGTCTTTTCAATGGATATATTTTATGCTTCTTAAAATCTCTCACTCTAGTATGTTGAAATGTCATTGTGCAGGACAGGGACCTGACTACCTAGTATTTTCCATGTGTATATTGTGTAATATATGTGTATGCATAATATGTGTAATTGAGAGTAATAACTCTCTTGTTTTCTTTCCAAGGAGTACAATTTGAATACTTTTGGGCAGTCCCAGTAGTTTAGGTGCTTCACTGAGCTTATGCTTGCCAACTTGTCTGACATGATAAGAGGATGCAAGGACTGCACAATATTCTATTAGAGACAGCACCAGTGCTTTGATTCTGGTTCTAGCTTCCAGCAGGAGATGGATGGGTTAGTAAGGCCTGGTGTGTGTTTGGCTATAAGACTTGGTGGAACAGTACAAGAGAAGCTCAGGGACCCACTGAGGGGTCCTTCTCAGAAGAGTATCACAAAACTTAGCAATTGTCTTGCATCACATTTCACTACAAAATTATGAAATACTGTATAATTACAATACAGTATTTGCTAACATCTTCATTAATGTTAAAAAATCCATTAATCCCACAACTTATTTCTGAAGAATGAACAAATGATATTAAATGAACTAAGAATTAAAAACAAGGTTACACTTACGGTCCCTCATTGTACCTGTAAGCGAGGATCTCACTCTCCTCCTCCACTACCTGCTCATTGTACTTCCCCTCTTCATATTTCTTTAAAAACCTGAGAACATTTGCACGTTCCAATTCTGCCACATTCCAGAAAACAACTGAACCCTCTTTGAAGAAGTAAATCTCCCGTTGTTCTGATTCTAGTTGATAAGTAGCAACCACATGCAAGACATCATTTGCATCTGAAAGCAAAATTATGCAGAATATCATTCAAGGTATAAAATATATTAATGGATATTAGAATTATAAATTACATGGTATTGGTTAAAAGTGTGTAATTTCAAATTATATTACTACATTTAGTTTGAAAATTATTCTACAACACACACAAGTTTAAGTTTCATGCCAACACTTTCCTAAGAACTTGAAAAATTATTTCATAATTTTTAAACATTTCCCTTAAAATAAAAACCACCAAGCAAAACTTTAGGGAATACAGTACTGTAATCACTTTCAGTGGGGCTACAAAACTCAAGAGTTGGTTACATGATATAATTATTTCAGATTTTAAGTGACTGACTGGAAAGAAACCTCAAATAATAAAAGGAATGGAGAGACCTGAAAGGCTGCTTTCTGATTGGCCCTTCAGTTATTTCCCTAGCCAGGACCTAGGTCCACCCAAGAGTATTGTTTACAAGCTAGGCTCTACTCGACAATCAGCCAGGCTCTGATAAGGAACTTTTAAAATGGTTATGCCAAACTCCTGCAAGTAATAACTGGAAACACAAGGAAAAACAATTCTGGTTTTGCTGACTTCTGTACTGAAAGAACTAGGTACATGTAAGCAAGGAAAGAAACTGTTAACTCCAATATAGGTGAAAGAAGAGTCTGCAATGCCAAAAGCTGGTAAGAGGGGAGTGGACTCCAGCAGGAACATCAATGACACCCAACAATGGACCGATAGAAATGCATGTAAGATTGAACTAATACCTTAGAAGACACCTTGTGCTGGTGTCCAGTCTGCATTAATGTGTCTGGCAATGACCAAGCTGATGAGGTGGCTAAGTGTGTTTCTGTCACCTTAATTCCCTAAAGATGTTTCCTTTATTATTATTTACTAGAGATGTTGGATTGTTGCTAGTAAGATACGCTTTCCTGTGTATTGTACAGTATATATATTGGTCATGTTGCCCAAGATATTTCTAGCAATTTTTATCCATAGTGGTGCAAAGCAGTTGAACATAGTTGTTATTTCAGAGATAAAAGTATATCTATCTCTAAGGTCTTGTACATTTCATTCAGTATGTTTATTGTATGAATGTACATAGACTCTAGAATGTTTAGTGCGCTTCTTTTAATATAAATTTCATGCTTCCTTTTGCTTTAAATCTAGGCTCAACAGCCAAGTACAAAATTAATGATGACACTTTTATAAATAAAGAAGAAAACTATACAGTAGAGTATAATCAGATAATATTATATGCAACATTTTATCTTGGCTAAATGAAGGAAAAAACCAGCGTTGAATGTAATGAAACGCCATTTTCTGGGTGAGACCCGGAGGCTCCCCGGAGCTTTACCGGCTGATATGCTAATGTCAGACTTTGGCATCAGTCATGTGTATGGAGTTCTAGGGCCTACCGGGGACCACGAGCCAGAACCTGGCCCCCTCAGAGAGGCAAGGGGAGCAATGGCCTATAGAAACCCCCGTGTGGTTGGAAGCATTCTATGTCTGCCATCGACCGGGTCAAGCATCCAGAAAGGTAAGCATTCCAAAACAAACCCCTATTCTGGTGAAAATTGCTACCTAAGCCGAACTAGTGAATAGAACTCTTCAACAGAAAACACGGAAACTAGTATGACGTCATACGTCACCGCGCCGCTGTCTGCGCAGCTCCCCCCTCCCCGGGAGGGGGAAGGGGGAGCCCCAGACCTCCCACGCCGGCTATCCACCCATCAGTTCTGAGGCTGGATGTCAAAACACGCGAAAAACGCCGACCGGAGGGAGGGAGGGTTGCCGGGGAGCCTCCGGGTCTCACCCAGAAAATGGCGTTTCATTACATTCAACGCTGGTTTTCTGGGGGGAGCCCCGTCGGCTCCCCGGAGCTAACTACCCACAGAGGAAGGTCAAAGGGACAAAACCGGGAGGCGGACACCACGCACCCCCCAAGGAGGCGAGACAACCGGCAGCAAACGCCAACCCAAGGCGCCACAGCCCCGAAAATCCCGGGAACAACACGAGAACCACGAGCAGCAAGGCCACGTCGCCCAGACGGCAGCGAGAGCAGCGAAGCCACGAACGCCACAGGCATGAGGGAAGAACACAGGCAGCTTAGCCGCAAGAACACGGCTGACCACCCGGGACACCATCACCCGCGAACCGGGAAGAACAGAACCGGATCAACGCAAAACGCGCTCCGGACCCAAACGCCGTGGCACGCAAACAACAGCAGAGGGCCGCCACTGAACACAAAAACGACACACCCCCGGCCCGACCAACAAAGCACCAACAAACCCTGGACCCCTCCAGAATGCAGCAGCCCCACCCCGCGCCAGAAAAGATGGAGACTGCTGCCATCAAACAACCAAAACGCTAAAACCGAAGGAGCAAGAAAACACAGCGAACCGACCCCCAGAGGCAAAGGCCCAAAGGAAAGAGCCGACGAAAAAACACACCGGAACCGAAGGGGCACTACCAACCGAGGAGAAGACAGAGCACGCTGACCAGAGACCAGGATGGTGCAAGCGGCGCACGAACAGGCCGGAGGTGAAATGACGCACAAGACAGCTGACTAACGGTGCAGAAGCAACACCAAGACCGAAAGCAAGCTGAAGCGGCTCCGCCTGCGCCGCACGAAAAGAGGCGACAGTATGTGGCAAGACGACGGCCCCCAACCCCCACTAGAAAACCAAGCCGAGAGTAAACCAAGCCAACAAGAAGGACCCACCGAAGAAGGGACAGGAAAAGGAAGGACCGCCAAAATACCCCATACTGCCGCCAAGAAAGCACGCAGGTGGGACACCTACCACGAAGCCACCCGACCACCAACCGGAGGCGAGACCACGAGGCAGAACATAAGCAGCCCCGACAAGGCCCCCCCGAGCCCAGGAAAAAGGCGGAGCCGCGAGAAGATCTCGGGCGCGACCACCGAAACCCAGGCGGCACAAGGAGATGGAACGTCTGCCGAACAGAAAAACTCCGAAGCATGCAAGCCCGCCAGGAGTTCAGAAACGACGGGTCCGACGCGAGACATCGCAAGAACCCCCCCAAAAAAATAAAACAACAACCGGCAGGGCAAGCTAGGAAAACCAAAGAAGGCGGAAGGGTCGCCGCCAGAACAGGACCCGAACCAAGGGGCACGAACAACTGCAACAGACCGAGACAAAGAAGCACATCACAGGACACAGGCTGACCAACGCCTAAGAACACACGCAGAACATTCCTGCTGCAGAAGAGGCAGGAAGAAAGAGCAGAAGCACAAAAAAAAAAAAAAAAAAACCAGGAGAACAACCAGGGGTGGACAATCAGGCAGGGACAAAAACCCCACGCAATCCCCAGGCACAAAACGGCAGCAAAGCGCCACTCCACAACCGGACACAGGAACAAGGACACGCCACCGTGAAACACGGTACCAATGCTCACGTGCAGCAGCAGCAGCAACAGGCACCACTGCAACATGCAACATGTAAATAGCAACTCCCCTCTGCAAAGGCAGAGAACGGAGCAGGCAGACCCCAGACAGGGCCAACGGAGACACGACAAAACCCTGCAGGCCCAGAAACCTGCACCAGGCGACCGACGGCGGAGAAACCCCGCTCGATACCTGCTGGATGAGGTACTGGGAGCTCTTTTACACCTCAAGCCCGGCCCAAGGTCAGGCCAGACCGGCCAGAGGATGGCCCACCAGGCAGCTGCTAGGAGCAGTCCACCGGCCCACATACCCCCACAACCAGGACGGGCCGGAACTGCCATACGAAAACAGGCCAGTGCGCCCTGGAAGTCCACGGACGAACCAGCAAGAAGGCTTATGCTCGCAAGTAGGTCGTGTAACAAGCACAGACCACTGATGGTAATACAGTGTTCCCCAAAAGTGCCAATAGCACCACTGCACTCCACTGGTACTATCCCGCAAGTTCTACCAGATAGGCGGGACCCAAGAGCCCGAGCTCAAATCCTGCAAGCACAGCCAGGAGCCTCACCAGGTGAGTACAGAACCAACCCTACAACCCCCACACCTCACATTAAAAAAGGAGGGTCCCCTGAACGACTCCAGCATGGGTTGGACATGCACATGAGGGGGACAGGAAGGGGTGATAAAAGGGACAGTCACTGGTGTGCGAACGGTCTCAGTCGTACAAAATTATACCTAAATAAAGACAGGTATATGAACACCGCCGCATCCAGCGCCCGGCCAAAAGACGCCAGACCGCAGAAACTCACCTGGCGAATGGTGGCTCGAACTTGACACGACTCAACCGTGCCCAGAAGAACTTGGGAGCACCGCCAGGTGAAGACGCCAGAGCCGGACCCGCAGGAGAACGGAGAGGCGAAGGAAGCGGTCCACACCCATGACACAGAAAACCGCGGTGTCCTCCCCACAACTGGGAACCAGGACACCCCTGGCGCAAAGGGGCACATACCGCAGCCAGGGAGAAGAACGAGAGGCGAAGCACTGTAGCAAAAAAGGGCGCAAAACCCCAGCACTGAACCATCGCCCAGACCAAAACAAACTCCACGGCGCATGCGCATAACACGCTGGCCGAACCGCACACCCTCCCTGCGGGAAGGCGCCAGCCAGGACTATTGCACGAGAAAAGAGCCAAAAGAGGAAGCAGGAACAATAAAACCGGCCAAAGAAGCAAAGAGCCCAAAAAAAAAACCCAAACGGGAACCCAAACGGGCGACAAGTAGCCCAAACGGGCGACAAGTAGCCCAAACGGGCGACAAGTAGCCCAAACGGCCGACAAGTAGCCCAACCGGGCGACAAGTAGCCCAACCGGGCGACAAGTAGCCCAACAGGGCGACAAGTAGCCCAACAGGGCGACAAGTACTAGGAGCCGACAGACGTTCCAATAATGCGGGAAGTAGCGAAAAACCTTCCCGTACCCTCGAGAACACAGAAGCCAACACTAGTCCCGAAGGCACACGAAGGCGCAGGCGCACCCGAGATCAAAAGTCACGCAGAACCCCATCGAACGGGGAAACATGACAAAAACACCGTCCCAAAAAGCGGGGGAAGAAACAACCACCCACAGGACGGAACCAACCGACTCAAAGGCCAAGGAACCGAGCCCGGGGAGGGGCCGACGTCCAACAGCACGTACGGCGAGTGGGGAGGAAAGACCCCACTCCGCGTAACCACAAGCCCCGCCGAGAGGGGGATAAAACCCCCCACGGGGTCTAACGGGGCCTAGGCCCCCCCAAGTCAGCCCCTCCCCAGCCCCGGGAACCTACACGACAGGCCCCGGGGCCGAGCCGTTCCCCCAAAGCCCCGGCCGTACCAGAAAACCGGGGCAGCCGTGAAAACACTAAGGAAGGGAGCCCACTGGCAGACTCATACAACACGGCTGGAGGAACAGGCCCAAATGCCCCCGTCACTACCCCGGAAGGGGAATTCCCCGAGACTGCCCGAGTCTCAACACCACCAAACACCCCGCCCTGAACCTACAGACGGTAAGGAACCGGATACAGGCAGGAAGGGTGAACCAGGGGAAAGACAAGGGGGCGTGGATGGAACCGAAGCAACCAACACCCCCAAGTCCCAAAACGAAATACAACGGGGCAGCCCCGGGGCTCCCGGGGAGGAAAACCACGAGAACGTTGCCACCACCAAGGCTCAAGTGCAACGCCCCTGCTGCCCGCACCCGCTTTGTTAGCACAACTGGGTAACCGAGCCACAACGAGCAACCAAACTCGCAGGACACCGGGTCGAAGGTGTCACCGACCCCACAGGCAGCAGACGGAGGCAAAACAGAGTCACCCAGAGACAAAAGGTGAGAGCAACCCTCAAACTCGCTGGAAGCGAGGGGGGGGCTCTGGGGTCACATCCATCGGACCCGCGCGCCCCCAGGGGTTTCCCAGGGTCCCGAGCGTTTACTTTAAGAGGACTCGCGCTCAGGTAATCCCAGGCAGGGTACTGCTAACCGGCACCCAAGCTACCAAACAACTTTCTAAGAGCTGAACCCCCGGGACGTGTACACTCACGGGGACCTAGCAGGGGGTACCACCAGAAATACTCAGAACACAAGGGACACAAGGGGCAAGAACGAAGGCAGACCCCCCCACCAGGTATATAAACAAAAGAAAAAGAAAACCCCGCAAGAGGACAGCGTACCCAAGCGGAACAGAGCCGGCCGCTATGATTGGTAAAGACAAGCTGCACAGTACCCCGCGCCCCACCAGTGCAAACACTGCCCCTTACTCTAAGGCGAACAAGGGAGACAGAACACCCGAGCACACAAAGAGCGGCCGAAAACCAAGCGGTAAACGGCCAAGCAGGGGCAGGACCCAAGGAACTTGTGGAAGGTGGCCCCAAGCCCCAAGGGCAGTACTTACAGGGCACCTAGGGAAGGGAACCCTAGGCGCATGCAGCCCGAGTACTGAAGAATCACACCCGGCTCACGCACCACCTAGAAAACAGACACCACACTCTAGGTACAGTGCTGAAACAACCACTGGAGCCGGAGCACATAACCATTGCCTATAGCATCAGCCGAAGAACTGATGGGTGGATAGCCGGCGTGGGAGGTCTGGGGCTCCCCCTTCCCCCTCCCGGGGAGGGGGGAGCTGCGCAGACAGCGGCGCGGTGACGTATGACGTCATACTAGTTTCCGTGTTTTCTGTTGAAGAGTTCTATTCACTAGTTCGGCTTAGGTAGCAATTTTCACCAGAATAGGGGTTTGTTTTGGAATGCTTACCTTTCTGGATGCTTGACCCGGTCGATGGCAGACATAGAATGCTTCCAACCACACGGGGGTTTCTATAGGCCATTGCTCCCCTTGCCTCTCTGAGGGGGCCAGGTTCTGGCTCGTGGTCCCCGGTAGGCCCTAGAACTCCATACACATGACTGATGCCAAAGTCTGACATTAGCATATCAGCCGGTAAAGCTCCGGGGAGCCGACGGGGCTCCCCCCAGAAAAGATATCAAAATAGTTCCTCATTTAACATATTGCATGCACAACACGTACCAGGCACTAATGATGACACACTGGAGGAAGCCTGTGGGGGATTACCAGATGTGGTGTGGTTTGTCATCTGAGAAGTCGGGGTCCCTGGTGTAATGCTGGCACGAGTGTAGAGTCCTTGCTGAGTTAACCCATCAAGAAGCTTATCAAGGTCATACTCATCTGCCGTTGCATATGCTGTTACTTGCCATTCCTACCAAACATGAAAGTATTACAAATTATTTGAGACTTGTACAGGAAATTATAACTAACATTGATAAAAAATAAAAATACGCAATCAAACAGGGAGCGGAGGTGGACGAGTGCAGGGTTGCCTCTAAGGGCTTTCTTCAGATAGGTTGGTCTGGTTACCTGTCTTCAAGATTTATGTTCAAGTGGCTCAAATGATGCTAAATACAATACTGCATAATGTGAATAATATGATGATTGTGCAAGCAATATTTCTCATGCAAATCTATTAGCTACAGAATTCTGTCCCTGTTCATCTTTTTGTCTCTAGGCTGATGCCTCCCTTCCCTATAAAAGTGGGACATGTGGTAATGATACTGTATATGTGTATAATATATAGATGTTTAATCATCGGAATGGAGAAGTATCAATTTTGTAAACAAGACAAAAAAGACAAGACATAAAAGTAAGACATAAATCTTTAAGCCACATCTAATATGTAAACATTTCAGATGTCTTAATTCTTTTACTACAGAGAAATTTGTTTTATCTAAATACAGTACTCTGGAATGAAGTACGTACTTGGAATGGTACTTAAGAGTCCATATTATTATTTTTTGTATATATACTGTACAAGAGTTCTTACATTCTTGTACAGCCACTAGCATGCATAATGTTTCGGGCAAGTCCTTAATCCTACTTTTCACACACATACACATCCCCAGGAAGCAGCCCATAGCAGCTGTCTTACTCCCAGGTACCTATTTACTGCTAGTTGAACAGGATCATCAGGGAGAAAGAAACTCTGCTCATTTGTTTCCGCCTCTGCCAGGGATCAAACCTGGACTCTTAGGACTACAAACCCCGAGCGCTGTCCACTCAGCCATCAGGCTCCAATTATTCAGCTTTCCTTTTTTATCTCTGTAGGTGGAGGACACACAGTCTTGAACTTCTTCCAAGTTTTTTTATGCACTTTGACCATTCTTGGGCTTTGACCATGCTTGTGGAGAGGGGTGGGGTTCACCTATTGCAGGGTTGTTCCTACAGGTCTGTCTTAGACTTGGTCCCTGTGTTGTCCTCCAGTCTCTAGATCTTGCACAGCTCTATATATCCCATTTCTTCATTTTCACATTTGGGACTTGTTGGATAGGAACATAGTTGTAGAGATCTGGAAGTTCAGAAGCCCAGCCCCTATTGGATCCTCGACTTTTCAGGGAGTCGATGCTTTTATTCCTTGTCCAACATTCCAGGTGACTCCATATCTATGGTCCAGCAGGTGGTGGTGTGACAGACTTGACAGATGTCTAAAAAATTTAGATGCCTATAGCTATGAATGTTCCTATTCATTTGAGATTCAAGAATTGGCTGGAATCTTGGGTCAGTTGATCCTCTTACCACTTTTGGGTTCTCATCTTTGTTCTCAATCTGGAGCCTTGGATGCTCTCCAGGTTCATTCATATTGTTCATTGAGTTTCAGCTCCTGGAAATCTATGTCCCGGTCTACCTTGATATATGGTGCAGGTGATGAGTCACAATAATGTGGCTAAAGTATGTTGACCAGACCACACACTAGAAGGTGAAGGGACAACGATGTTTCGGTCCGTCCTGGACCATTCTCAAGTCGATTGTGATGAAGTAGATGCAGGCAATAAATAGGCAAGAGATGTGAGGAGCAAAGTAAGGTGTAGTAGAGGGGATAGTAGTAGGAATAAGAACTGCAGAGGGCCTATTGGCCCATACGAGGCAGCTCCTATTATAACCACTGAATGAGAAGGAGATAGTAATAGGAATAAGAAGAGGATAGCAAGGGAACGTAAGGGAAGACAATGAACAGAAGAGAAGAGAGAAAGAAAAGGAAAGAGAAAAAGATAAATGGAAGGGTAAGCTTATGTTAGGTCAAGTTTGTTAGAAAGATTAGAGCATCTTGATATATGGTCTTACTGGTACTTTTTTTTATTATTATTACTGACCCTTTATTATTATATTACTGACAGCATTACACTAAATGAACAACTACAGCCTTACACGAGGTGGTGGGTTGTGCATGTGCATCTCAGGTAGAGTAAAATCTGGATCGAAAGTAAGAAATTTGTGTCGAGCCAAGGGAGCAAATCCTGTCACTGCCTCTTCTACCTGCAACATACATACAAACCCAAGTATATCATTTATATACAGTATCTACATACCTATCTACCTATACATACATACATTTTACATCCATCTGTTTACTCTCATGCTCACACAATATAGCAAGAGTTGAATTAAGAACAGTAAGATCTCTAGTTACCTATTGTGAGCGCTAAATGTAAGTTATAGTTCAGAGGATTTCCCTTCCTATAATTCATAACAAATTTTCTCTTACATTTCAACAATGTTTTAAGTGCTTGAGACTTGTGTAGAAGGAACACCTAAAATATTTGCCCTAGAATGCCACAAACTGACTTGGCAATTATATTTGCAAATCAAATGTCACTTGCTTTCAATTAAGGAACCTTGCTTTTGTATAGAATATTACTCTATGGTAAAGTGGGAAGTGAAAGTGATATTGAGATCTTACAAAGAGATCCCATTGTAGAATACAAATAATCCCCCACCTGGATCATTAAACACTATGCGTGCTAGTGGCTGTACGAGAATGTAAGATCTCTTGTATATGTAAAAAAAAAAAAAAATACAGTACATGAACTCCACAAATGGTCAGATGACTGGCAAATGCTTTTTATGTTGATAAATGCAAGATCTTGCATGTGGGGCATAACAATCCACATCACAACTACTAAATTGACAGTACTACTTTACAACAGATAGATGAAGAAAAGGTCCTTGGAGTCAGAATTCATCATTCACTAAAAGTTGCACAAAAAGTGGGAGCAGCAGTAAAATAAGCGAACAAAACCCTGGGAATAATCAAGCGTACTTTTAACTTTAAGAAAAAGTTATATATTATTGCAGCATGTATCACTCATGTATCCTCCTCACCTCATGTATCACTGATCAGTTTCTAGAGTAATTTACTTGTTTAAACCTTTCCTGTTATTCACTTTGCCCACTACCTTTTGACAGCTAGTGCTTCTATGGTTTTCACACATGCAACATTCAACTTTAATTTTACTGTGTTGCTGCTTTTTTCCAATCCTCTGGCATATTACCACCATCCCATATTTCAGTCTTCTCTTCCGAAATCACTATCAACTCCTCTTTTGTATTTATTTACCAGTTCTCATCTCAACTTTGATTCTTTTGCCCCAAAATGTGAGACATGATCACCCTTTCACCACTTTATCTCAAAGCACCAACATCATATCAGACAGATTGCTGCCGGTTTCCTGTCCTCATTGAAGCCACTAATGGGAAGGTGGCCCGTAGGTAAATTTAGGTATCATACCAATCTCATTCTCAATGTTAATACAAAAACTGATATTTCAATTCTAACTTTTATTACACATTGCAGTGCAATTATAATAACCACTTTTATTCTCTCAATCTAGAATTTCTCACACAGACCCTGAACTGCAATACAAGAAGTTATTCATTACCCCATACCACTATTTAATTCATGCTTATAACATTTACTCCAATACTCTTCTCATCATCAATTATTTTTATCTTAGGCTATTCTCACATAAATTTAATACTGTACTGTATTGAACTTTGATTTTTATAGCTTTTGCAACTGCCATCTACTGTACCTATATTTATATTTTTCATTCATTCCTTTCACATTTCACACTGCCATACGAACCTGGCTGTACTTTCTAGGCAGGTGCAGGACACAAATCTGAGACTATTTGGACTTTGTGGGAAGAAATTTGGGGAAGATGGGTCCTCTGCCTAATCCTTTCACTCGTGGAAGATGGAATGTAAGGTAACCAGGTAACCACATAATGGGGTTGTGGGGTTGCCACATTCTTATACCAACCAACAATGCAATTTTATCATTACCTCCTCTGAATCTGCCAGCTGTTTTTTCTTCTTCCTCTGTGTTCTTTTCTTAGCTTGCAAGGCTGATATCCGACTATGAATGTTTGTAAAGCCACCTTTACTTTGTGACAAATGACGAATATTTGGGGCCATTCCACTTGGAAGAGCCAAACTACCCACTATGACTCGGTTCAGTATCTTAGATGACAAACCAAGTGATGATTGTCTAGAAAGAGCACCAAACTTGTGGCTCCATGGGCAAGACATATTTAAATTTATCTTGTCAAAAGTGGCAAAGTTTGTACTATGGGTAACGGTATTTGGTAAAAATTTGTGAACTTGTGAACTAGGAACAAAATTCATATCTGGTAAGGATTTGCTATTCATCTGACACTGTTGCAGTCCATTCTGGAAGTTCAATATTTTGGCACAACTTGTTGGTAAAGGTGATATCACTGAGCTTGAGGTTATTCTGTGACTGGTCGAGTCATGTTTTGAGCAGTGTAGACCTGCATATATACTTCTGCTTGACAATCGCAATGGAAATACTTCAACAGATAGGCCACACTGTCTAATCAGTGTCCTTGCACACATGCCGTAGGAGGACATTTTCCTGTAAATAAAACATAAAATAAGTACTACATACAAAAATTATTGTGTACTATACTATATATTATAATAAGCACAACCTTTTAGTTACAATATAGCATTTGAAATTTAAATACAGTACTGTATATTATATAATTAAAATACATTTACATAATTAGTATATCATTGCAGCAATGGTGTACATCTGCTGGAGCTAGAACAATTTTTTTGCATCTTGTTCGGTTCAGATGTACCCAATTTTTAAGTTGTTAAATCTTCATAATTATCGAAAATGAACCAAATTCGAACAACTGAAATACTGCAGCATGTCTGGTTCCTAGATAATGCAGTCCGCCTCAAAACTGTGCAAGATATATTGGCAAGCAAGGTGATATCATCAATGACATGCAATTTTGTTTTACTGGATTATCATTTTGTACAAAATATCTCTGCTGTGCTTTAATAAGCTTGACAAGTTCATTACAAACAAACTTTTTACAGTTTCTTTATAATTTAGTTTCATTGGCTTTAGACATAGTATATACTTGCTCTATGTAGAAATCCAACATTCTGCTTATAACTCATTTTGCATGTACGTACTTTTCCCTAAATAAACATTATTATTATTACTATTATTATATTGCAGTATAGGTCATTTATTTGTATTTGAATAGGCTGCTAAGTGTACATATTAAACAATCTTGTGATAAATATTTAATGTACTGTACTGTACAATATTTTCCTGTAAATAAATAAATAAGAGTAATATATTTTTAATACAGTATTGCAATGTACATATGTATTATGCCTTTTATAAAGAACACAAATTCTTCACATGACACAAGAATGTATCATTTGGTCACTTGAAGGAGGTAAATAGACCTTGACTGCAAAGTAAAAAATATTACTTTTGCACATAATGTACTTAATTTGTTACATTAAAATATTAATTTTCATGAAAGCAAGCTACACATAACAGTAAGTCCATAACACTATATTATATCGTGTATCCAGCTAAATAATAGCTAAAAGCTAAATAAATAAATAAATAAATACAGTAAATGTATTTTTTCTGCCTAATTATATTCCCCTTATGCAAACCTGCCACGATGAGTGAATGAGGAGCTTAGAACTAAAATGCGTCTATGTAGCCACACTGACATGTACATGTATGTATACCTATGTATAATGTGGCAAATAAGAATGTTAATATTTACTTTATAGTCCGGCCTGGCCTGGTGAAGGTAAACACTGACCTGCAGCGCCTGCAGGCAGGGTTGCCAGATTCAAATTGCTAAAAGTAGCGAGCTGACGGTCTAAACGTAGCGAATTTGTAATAAGATTAGCACAATTTTTTGTTTAGTGACTGATACGGGTATCAAAGTAATCTATTATGATATATAGAGTACATTAAACGATTTTAATTGTTTTATTAACATTATCTCTGCATATTTAACCAATATGATAATAGGATAACTTACCAATATTTACTGTTTGAAGCTTAATGGGTGTGAAGTCCTTCCACGTCTTTACAGTTGAAGATTATCAAGATCTAGATCTGCATCCATAGCCTCGTTCTTGTATATTGCAGACTCATATTTAAGCATTGACTTGAGTGGTTCAAATGACGAGCAACGAGTTACATTTTCTTCATGATATGTTTTGATTCTCAAGACTGATGTCAAAAGCTCAAGTCCCATTCCCATTCAAGATTTCTCAGTTTAGTTTTCACAGACGTTACTCTCGAAAAAATCCGTTCAACCAGGGCATTACTGATTGGCAAGCTGTATATTTTCAACACAAACTCAGCGAGGTCAATCGGTATGGGATTGAAGTCAATCAGTATATCTGAAGTGTCGGAAATTTGACTCCTGAGCGTGATTTTTGAGCCGAATTCTGACTCTGCACCTATTTTAATTTTCAAATTACGACTTTTTACACCGAAAATATGCCAATTACTGAAAACGGCAATGGGTCATATTTTGCCCAACCCCCCCTGCAGTTTTCAAAATATCTGAAATGTCGGAAATTTGACTCCTGAGTGTGATTTTTGAGCCGAATTCTGACTCTCTGCACCTATTTTCATTTTCAAATTACGACTTTTTATACCGAAAATATGCCAATTACTGAAAACGGCGAGGGGTCATATTTTGCCCAAACCACCCTGCAGTTTTCAAAATATCTGAAATGTCGAAAATTTGACTCCTGAGCGTGATTTTTGAGCCGAATTCTGAATCTCTGCACCTATTTTCATTTTCAAATTACGACTTTTTATACCGAAAATATGCCAATTACTGAAAACGGCGATGGGTCATATTTTGCCCAAACCCCCCTGCAGTTTTCAAAATATCTGAAGTGTCGGAAATTTGACTCCTGAGCGTGATTTTTGAGCCGAATTCTGACTCTCTGCACCTATTTTCATTTTCAAATTACGACTTTTTATACCGAAAATATGCCAATTACTGAAAACGGCGATGGGTCATATTTTGCCCAAACCCCCCTGCAGTTTTCAAAATATCTGAAATGTCGGAAATTTGACTCCTGAGCGTGATTTTTGAGCCGAATTCTGACTCTCTGCACCTATTTTCATTTTCAAATTACGACTTTTTATACCGAAAATATGCCAATTACTGAAAACGGTGATGGGTCATATTTTGCCCAAACCCCCCTGCAGTTTTCAAAATATCTGAAATGTCCGAAATTTGACTCCTGAGCGTGATTTTTGAGCCGAATTCTGACTCTGTGCACCTATTTCCATTTTCAAATTACGACTTTTTATACCGAAAATATGCCAATTACTGAAAACGGCGAGGGGTCATATTTTGCCCAAACCCCCTGCAGTTTTCAAAATATCTGAAATATCGAAAATTTGACTCCTGAGCGTGATTTTTGAGCCGAATTCTGACTCTCTGCACCTATTTTCATTTTCAAATTACTAATTTTTATACCGAAAATATGCCAATTACTAAACGGCGAGGGGTCATATTTTGCCCAAACCCCCCTGCAGTTTTCAAAATATCTGAAATGTCGGATATTTGACTCCTGAGCGTGATTTTTGAGTCGAATTCTGACTCTCTGCACCTATTTTCATTTTCATATTACGACTTTTTATACCGAAAATATGCCAATTACTGAAAACGGCGATGGGTCATATTTTGCCCAAACCCCCCTGCAGTTTTCAAAATATCTGAAATGTCGAAAATTTGACTCCTGAGCGTGATTTTTGAGCCGAATTCTGACTCTCTGCACCTATTTTCATTTTCAAATTACTACTTTTTACACCGAAAATATGCCAATTACTGAAAACGGCGATGGGTCATATTTTGCCCAAACCCCCCTGCAGTTTTCAAAATATCTGAAATGTCCGAAATTTGCCTCCTGAGCGTGATTTTTGAGCCGAATTCTGACTCTCTGCACCTATTTTCATTTTCAAATTACGACTTTTTATACCGAAAATATGCCAATTACTGAAAACGGCGAGGGGTCATATTTTGCCCAAACCCCCCTGCAGTTTTCAAAATATCGTAAATGTCCGAAATTTGACTCCTGAGCGTGATATTTGAGCCGAATTCTGACTCTCTGCACCTATTTTCATTTTCAAATTACGACTTTTTATACCGAAAATATGCCAATTACTGAAAACGGCGATGGGTCATATTTTGCCCAAACCCCCCTGAAGTTTTTAAAATATCTGAAGTGTCGGAAATTTGACTCCTGAGCGTGATTTTTGAGCCGAATTCTGACTCTCTGCACCTATTTTAATTTCCAAATTACGACTTTTTACACCGAAAATATGCCAATTACTGAAAACGGCGATGGGTCATATTTTGCCCAAACCCCCCTGCAGTTTTCAAAATATCTGAAATGTTGGAAATATGACTCCTGAGCGCGATACTTTGTTTATAATAACTGCATATAAAGTACATAATAGAGATGTATAATTGTAGGTATAGAGGTTTGCACACAAAATAAAGCCACTACTATAGAAAGCGGTCTTATATGATATAAAACATTTAATTTTATACATATAACATATAACATATATTAACATTATTTAACATAATATAACTGCTCTTGCACTACACATAGATTCAACAACTCTCTAGTATCATACTTTTCCTGATATCCTTAAAAAAATAAGAGTAACGCAAGTTCATAAAAGAGGCGAGATAGCTGACATAAACAATTACAGAACAATATCAAATCTACACTATATATATATATATATACATCAAATTGCTCGAAACGCTATGCATGCTTGTGGCTTTACAAGAATGTAAAATCATCGTCATTACTATGTACTTTCCTATCCCCCAATATACCTTCTTGTATATAAATAAATAAATAAACATATGCATATACCTTCAAAATAATTGAAAACAGAATTTACAAACAGCTTTAATCCTACCTTGTAAAACTCAACATATTAAATCCCTGACAGTTTGACTTCCGTTCCCAAAAGAGTACCAATGATGCCCTATTAGTCTGTTTAATATAATCTACAGAACCCTTGACAAAAATAAGTTCTCAATTGGCCTCTTCATTGACCTGAGAATGGCCTTTGATACTGTAAACTATAACTACCTTTTACTTAAACTTCACCACTATGGTATCCGAGGCCTTGCTATGAACTATATCCGTTCCTATCTCAGTGACAGACACCTATATGTAACTCATACTATTTATACTACTCAAAGTATCTCATACCATTTGATCTGAAGTAATTGATAACAGGGTAATCACAGATATAGTGTTGGAGAGTATTACCTGAATTTACCTAAGGGCCACTAATACTAGTGGTTCTCGACGAGGGCAGGAAGCCGGCGGCTTGTCAAAGGTCCCCCCATTTGCCCTGATGATCTTTTCCAGATGGATTTTAACATTTAACACAGCTTTGACATTTACGGCTTCAGCGGGTAGGCGCTTCCATGGGGTTTATAATCTTGTGGGTATGTCCTAACTCTTGTTCACATAATGAACAAGAACAAGTGGAAACAATTCAATTGTTACAATTTGAATGTTCATTATTGGGGGATTCATTACCTGAAGCCACCTGCCGTAGATATTGATATCACAGCATAATTTTGGCAATTAATAATTTAATAATTACAATGTCACATTGGCCAGTGGATAACTCCGGGCACCTATTTACTGCTAGGAGAACAGAGGCATTAAATAATAGGAAACTTATCCAATCATTTCTGTTCCACCCGGGATTCAAACTTGGGCTTCCCGATTGTGAGCCGAGATAAGCTGGAGTTGTCCATCCTGTGAAAAAATGACTTGGATGGCGTCAGTGTTTGTTTACAAATTTAAATCCCAGAGTTGTTGAGGGAGAGCTGCACCACGGCGCCTCCCCATACACCTCCTCTCTTGTCTCCCTGGCACTCTCACACGCTCTCTCCTTACACTGGCACTCTCCACGACTACTCTAGCACTCTTTAAGGTCAGTACTTGTGCTGTGTGGATGTCTTCTACACTAATATCCAGTATGGTGCGAAACTTTGAGCGAGCCTAACGAATTTTACAGCATTGATGGTCTCAACTACCAGCAACCCTAGCTGCCTTTTGGACTATTTTAGAATAGAATACATTATGTTGTGTTCACGGGAGACATCTCCCGTCACGCAGGGTGCAGTCGCACCTCCACAGATCTCTAGTATCAACTATTGATACTGGTAATGGCTAAAAATGGCCACCACTTACGGGCTATTCATGCCAGTGCCACCTTTTGGGTGGCTTAATATTTATCAATCTATGTTGTGGTACTGTTCATTGCATTATAGTGTGTTTGGGTAGTGCAGTGCTTCCTTTGGGCTGTATCCAAGTACAGTAGCACAATGCCTTCTTGGGCCTGTTTACAAATATTTTACTGTGACAATTCGTCAATCTGTATAGGTTAAGTGGGCGTTCTCTAGGTTCTCATGGAGAATGTGGCTTAAATACAAGGATTCCTTTCAATAATATAAGTTTGTGCTCTAGGGTAAAGTCGTTAATCCTTGGGCACTTTATTGGCTTTCTTGGGCTTGTGTTTAGCTTGCGTTGGTTCTGAGGAGCAGTGGCCCGACAACCAGGTCTCTGACCAAGTTTCTGGGTTGGAGGTCTGGTCCACCAGGCTGTTACACACCTGCTCGCAGCCTGATATATGAATCGCAGCCCAGGTGTGGTGTTTCGAGAGGTTTGCCAAGTTATTTTAGGTTTCTTGTAAAAGTTATGGTGTGAATTAAAAGAGGAGACATTATTCTATAAAATGACAGTGGAGTGGATGCAATTCCCACAAATATAGTATAGGAAAAATGGCAATGGCCTGTTTTGCTGTGTGCTAGGTGTTAACTCGCCCTAATGCTGGCAACACAAATGTGTATTGTGCACATTTTCCACCTAGATACAATGTTATAAATATGTGTTGTATGTTTTATAATATAACAAAGATTATGGGTTGTACTGTAATAGGAATTTAGTAAGCTATTAAACATCTTGTAATATTCATCTTTCATCTACACTATAGTCCAGCTTCAGGTCACCTGTACCTTAGAGGATAGTCTGCTTATAACAAAGATTATGGGTGTTGAGAGGAATTTAGTAAAGTATCATTAAACATCTTGCTATATTCATCTCTCGTCTATTCTATAATCTAGGCTAATGTAACCTGTACCTCGAGTCATGTCTTGTCTCATTATCGAGATGATGTCCAAATGCTGGATCATACTCAATATGAGTATTTCATCAGAGGCTGATTAATAATGACATTCCATAACACTTCGGTTAAAATTCAGCAGTCTCTTGAATTACTGTGTTGGCACATACATTACACATGTTTAAGAAGGAATTTCTCCAGGTCTGTGTAAACATGTTATAATATTGAATGAATGAATGTTTATAATATTATGAAGATCATAAGCAAACTGTAATTTAATATTCTGCCTTTAAACCATGTGTGATATTCATCTACTATATATTTCTGCATCAGTATGATTAATCCTATGTGTATGCAAACTGCTATTTGTGTTTTCTTATGTAAGAGTGTGTGTGTGTGTTGTTGAATGAATGAATGAATGAGTGTACTGCACGTGTGTGTGGTGGTAGTCAGTCGAGTGCAACTAGAATAAGTCAGTGGTGTTATACATCTTTCTCAATGTATTTAAATAACACAAATGTTTTATTTTTGTTAGGCAAATTGTTGTTAGGTAAGGATTGGAAAGGATAAGGTAAGATTAGATAAGTTAGGCTAGGTTTTTGTTTTGTCTTGTATTTGTTTTAAGAGTGACACTGATATAGCACAACTATTCTTGGAGCCCCTTTTTTGTATCCTGCATGTTTGAGTTGGATGTGGTGTGTGGATAAGTGTGTGTAATTACCTAAGTAATTACATAAGTGTAGTTACAGGATGAGAGCTATGCTCATGGTGTCCCGTCTTCCCAGTCCTTTTTTTTTTTTTTTTCATATAATGCTTTGATACTACTGACAGTTTTGACCTCCACAACTTTCTCAAAACTTTTTCCAACCGTCAACCACTCTGTTTGCAAAAGAAAACTTTCTAATAACTTTTGGCACCTTTGTTTCCTTAGCTTGAATCTATGACCTTTTCTTCTGGACATTGCTGTTTTCAGGAATTCCTCTATCAAATCAGTTGATTCCAGTTATTATTTTGTGAACAGTAATCGTATTGCCTTTTTTTCGTATGTGTGTGTGTCCATAACATGCTGATGTTCTAGTGTATGTAATATATATCTGGGGCAACGATTAACCCCTGAAATGCACAGTTTGGGTTGATTGCATGTGTCTGGGCCTAAAAAATGACTTTTGACAGTCCCACATAAGAGGTTGTTCTGGAAACAGGAACATGCTGGAGGAATGACAGGGAAACTTCTGACACGGATGAACAATTTTCTGACAGAAAAATGAGGGCACTAATCAGAGAGAATGTATCAGATTAGAGAAGTGTTACCCATGGAGTACCACAAGATTCAATTCTAGCATAGACAATCAACAGTAATGTTCATTGTCTATGTAAATGATTTACCAGAAAGAATACAGAATTATATGAACATGTTCACTGTTGTAATACTAGTAGGGAAGATAAGAAACAGACGATTGTTATGCTCTTCAAGAAGCCCTGGACAAAATAATACAAGAGTTTACATTCTTGTAAAGCCACTAGTACGCATAGCGTTTCGGGCAGGTCCTTGACCCTAATTTCCCCGGAATACGACCCTGCCGAATCGTTTAACAACCAGGTACCCATTCACTGCTGGGTGAACAGAGGCTACAGTTAAGGATTGGCGCCCGGTCAATCCTCCCCGGCCAGGATTCGAACCCAAGGCAAAGTGCTTGCGAAACGCCAGGCGAGTATCTTACCACTGCGCCACGGGGACTGCTAATTGCTTGGAGCAATACTTGGCAAATGAAATATAGTGTGAATAAATCCCACATTATGGAATATGGAATTGGAGAAAATGTCAAACACAACCTACAGATTATGTGAAGAAGCTTTAAAGAATTCTGATGAAGAAAGATTTGGGGTGGTTCTGGATGAAAAATTCTGGCTCTGTCACCCGAGAACCACATAAAAAACATTGCACAAGGAGCATATGCTGCATGTTCCAACTTTAGAATTGCTTATAAATACATGAATAGCAAAATATTTAAAGAAATGTATACACAACCTTTATAAGACCAAGTTGGAATAATATGTAGCAGTGTATAGTGCCCAGATCTCAAGAACTACGTAATTTAACTAGAAAAGATGGAAAGATATGCAACTAAATATCTTCCAGAACTGAATTTACAAGAGTTATGAGGAGAGGTTAAAGGCATTTAATATACCAACTCTAGAAGATGGAAGAAAAATAAGTGATACATTATGATCACCACTTGCAAAATAATAACAGGACTCGACCAAATTTGACAAAGAGGAATTCCTGAAACCAGCAACTTCAAGATCAAGAGGACACAGATTCAAGCTAAGAAAACAAATGTCAAGAAACTATGAGAAAGTTTTCTTTTGCAAACAGAGTAGATGGTCGGAACAAGTTAAGTGAGAAAGTGGTGGATGTCAAAACCTCCAGCATCATAGTGTTATACAGTATGTCAAAGAGTACTGGGAAGACGGGACACTATGAGCGTAGCTCTCGTCCTGTAACTACACTTGGGTAATTGCACAATGAAGATAACATTTTCCCCTATTACTTTTGTCTTCAGTGTTGTACAAAACCTGTACCAATAAAAAATTACTGTTATACCTACATTTCCTATTTGTGGATCACTATACATTTAGAGGTGTAGTGCACATCATCTGAGTATACATGGTGAATAAACTTTAGTTCTGAAATATTTAGAACTTAAGTACTGTATACTTGTTGTGGATTATCGAGACTTTGTAAGCCTCACCATTATTAAAGTGTTTAGCTAATCATTTAAATGTATATGTTTGAGTGGTGAAACAATGGTTTTACTTGTGATAATATTATTACATACTCATAGGTACAGAGCCTAGTAGGTTTATCAAACCAATGATCATGGGGGTAGTTGGAGGCTGTTTTCTGACCATGTGCAAAGACCAGGATCTGACACCCCCATGTTCAGTGTCATGTATCGTGGGAACCAGCGAGTGCTAAGATCTGAATTTTTATATGCAATGTAGAATGGTGTTTCATTTTTGGTTTGACTTATTTTCAAGATGATTTGGAAATGGTTAATTTTCCTGTCCTTTTGAGCGACCAATGGCACTTTCCAAGATGATCTCAAGATGCATTATGCCTAGTGATATATTACTCTTGGGTGTCTGACAGCTTAAGTTTTGAGGATCCCACATCTGCCTGAAGGGAATAAACACAAATATTCAATTAAAACTTTATTTTAACAAAATATTTTCTTCGTGATTCTTGTAAGGTACATGCACCTAAATGTAAAATAATATTGATCACCAATATTTTCCACGAATGTTCATTTGTGGATATTTACCATTAATGATATTGTGATTTGTTGGTGTCTTTTTATCAAGTAAGGCAGGAAGTGGAAAGTTTTTAAACAGTCTGTCTGAAAACTGGCGACTGTCTGGAGACCGACACTTTTACAATATAGTTACCACTGCTATAAGCCAATGTATTGGCCCATTCATTTAAAATAAGTTGAGAAATCTATGTAGCATGTGTGTATGGTGGTCAAAGAATTTCTTTGTTGGTTTACATCATGCTATCTTCCATCTTGAAAGTAGGCAGGGTATCCAAAAATTGAAAATATTGGGTTAAATAAAAGTAATTGTATTTTCTTTAGAATACGTCGTAGACAAGGAAGTTGGTGTCTTAGCAGTGTAAGAGAAAAAAAAAACAAAGTTCAGTACAGTATAGTAGATAAATTAGCAACACAGTACAAATATGAATACCTTAATATACATATATGCATTAACATGCACCCCACATGTACACTCGCATGCTCCTCCACAATCATGCATGTTCCCCACATATCCACACACACATGCTCTCTACATCCATATATGCTCCCTACATCCATATATGCTCCCCACATATCCACACACACACACACATGCTCCCCACATATCCACACATGTGCTTCCAAATATATTTGCACACTAGATCTCCCATATATTCACACATGCTTCCTCAGATATTCATACACATACTCCCCCCACATACACACACATGTATATCCATACACGTTTTTGCCACATATTCTCCCCAACATATACACACGCACACACGTCTCACAAAATAATGCTCGTTCTTCATATATCCACATTCCTTTTTCACTGAAACATACACCCTCTTCACATGCATGCACATACCCACTTCTTTCACAGGCATGTGCACCCATACCCCTTTCACAAGCATGTGCACACCCCCCCCCTCCTCAAACATATGTACATGTACCCACCCCTTTCTCAGGCATGTGTGCACATACCCACCCCTCTTACACGCGTGCATGCATACGCACCCTTCCCTTTCACAAGCATGACCGCACATACCCTCCCACCGCCCGAAATGTAGAACAATCTATTATTGCCTTCGTATATAATAATCATGATAATAATAATATGGTGTTTATGTGATAGTATATCATATCATAGTGGTTACTTAGTATATTCTGCATTTTGTATATTTTATAAAGCCACTGTATATACGCACTGCGTTTCGGGCAGAAAATAAGGGGGGTGGATTTGTCTGTTATGACCCATATAAATGCTGTGCGTTTTATTGTTTTGTTTTATAGTGACTTGCAAGACACTACAATCGCATGCTTTTCTTTCAGTTAGTGAAAAGTGAGTGTTTCCTTTTCTTTTGTATCAGGTCCATCTAGTGGGTGGCGGCGGAGGCGGTACCTCATCAGCTGATCCGTGTCGTCTGCTGCTCAGTCGACAGGCAGCCGTGGGAGGTGGCGGTGTTGCTCACTCACTCTCCACCAGTCAGACACTTCCAACTGCTGTTGGCCATGAGTTCTGGGGGGTTATAATGCGAGGTATTAAGCGACTCCACGTGCCATCTGGGACTGTGTTAGTGCTCTAAGATAAAGAGGTGGGAGGCAGTACTCGAGGGAGGGAGTGTGAGAGAGCAGAGTAAGACTTTGAAGGGTCTGGCTGGTCCGCCAACACATTGCTGACCGGATCCGCGACCTGACGTTAACCACCACACCATGAACGGGGAAATGGCGAACTTTTCCACGAGCGAGGAGGAGGCAGCTTACTGGAGAAAGAAGGCCCTGGAGTACAAGCAGAGGTGAGTACAACCCTTCGCTCCCAACCCTCCCCCTGTACCCCATGACAATCAATACCCCCCACACCCTTGTGGCGCACTCAGCCTGCTGATGACACACTCGTCTTAGAATTTATATTTAAATTATTTTGGTTCAAGTAGATTGGAGGATATTGGCTTCTTGTAAGTGAATGTATTCCTTCAAAAGTGGTATTATTAATTAATATTTCCGCTCTGATAACTTGAGAACCCTGCCATTACGTCCCTACCAATTTTATGAAGTCCTAGACTTATGAAAAAAGTCAAGGTCTTCAGCGCAATAACGCTTACAGTAATTTGGTATGCGTTCTACATTACTGCCTCTCGCTAAACACAGCATGGACAGGTTTTGCAGGTGTTATAAATTTGATGTTCTGCCCCAGGGTCGTAACAGCAGGCAGTCTTGAAAGTTCAGAAACTGTCGAGTATGTTAAATGCCAGTGTTTGATTCGAAAACTAGGTAAGGGATGTCTGAAGACAAATAGTAAATGAACTCTAGCTGCATTAACGTTTGTCTGAAGAGTTCCACTCTTGCCAAATCTGTTCCAATTCGTCTCTTCATTTTCCTCAAACTTGTGAAAATTCTCATTAATTTAATTTTAGGCTTGTTCGAACTTTTACTTTTGTATAACGATCCTTGTGTATTTTGTCAAATTCGTTGTTTTGGGCATCTAACAAAACAGTGCAGTATATAACAGGGTTGTGCAGTGGCTCATGACTTGTTTTCCTCGTCCCCATCGATCAACCTTCAACTCCTGTGACGACCCATTAACCCCGGAGGATGAAAGATTTCAAACCATTCTAAATTCGTTGCTTTTAATTATTTATGAGGATAAACTATTGTATTTGTAAGCGTACAGTGATTTCCATGCTAAATCGTAATAAATGGAAAAGTTGGGAACTTTGTATTTCGCAAAGTATTTTAATTTGATAGTGCCAGAAACGGCACTTCATATCACTAAACAATTAGCCTATTTCTGTACAGGCCTTAAAATAACAAGCGTGCGTGTAATGTTCTTAAATTAGGAATATATAACCTGGATCAGATATATTGACCACTTTCTCGACCTTGGCCTTTCCCACCCAGGCTAATAAGAACTGATGGTCTGTGTATGTGTTAGCATTGTTCTCGATTCACAACCTGGGATTCTTGGTTCGATCCCGAGTCGGGACAAATGATCAGGCACGTTTAATTTCACCTAATGTCTTCTCACCTAGCAGTAAATAGGTACCTGGGAATTAGGCAACTTCAGGGGGTTGCATCCTGGGGCAGGTCAGTAGTTCGACCTTGGGCACGGCCTAAAGTATTCAGCGTCTATTTATCCGACTAAACAAACAATACTGTAGACGTGACCAGAAAGCGTAATGCTGATTAAAAAAAAATTATACCTAGGGGTTTAAATGGGAAATTTTGTCTAATAGATCACCAAACATTTTGAGGTCTCGTCAGGGTAGCAGGGATTAATTTAAAAGTTAGCTTAGGCATGGTCCAAACGGTGTTGAACCCCAGCTTTGGTTTGTGAAAACTTTCTTTTAACCTGTCCTTGACGTACCCGATGTTACTACTACAGAAACCCGAATGATAATTGACTAACATCCACATGTCCTACTTAGCATTGATGAGTAATATAATTAGTTAAACATTCTTATAAATTGGTTCGCTATAAAGAGGCTAGCGTAATTTTGTTACCTCTCGTACACCTAGGGTGCATTTTTGGTTGAATTACGTCACTGTTGTGGAACTAAAGGGAGGGTGGGGGCAGAGTGCTCATGAGCGAGTCTGATGTCATGGACCCTCCATTAAAGCTGAAACTGCCATGTGAGAGTTAAGTCAGCCGTGCTCACCGCAACCAGAGGAATGTGGCCCACTTCAATCTCGCATTTCATTGACATCTTGTATCACTTGTGGAGGATAAACAAAAAAAATGTGGCGGGTTATAGAATCCATTGCGGTTGTTTCGGCTCTGATGCTACAATTTATATACAGGTGTTATATTCACTGTTCTCATTGAACGCTCCATTATAAATCTTTTATCGTACATTTTTTATTAAAGATTGCTTGCACATCATTTCAAAAGAATTATATCTTAATGTAAGTTAAGGGGCTTTGTTGTGCTAAAAAAATGTTTTGGCTTTAATTAAATGCAAAAAGGTAAGTGCAGTCATAAATAGCCAGAGCTTTGTGCAGAAAACAAGGCACGTGGGCGGGGCTTGCCTCCCACGCTGTGACGTCATCATTTACGATCTATATTCCCCTCTGCTGAAGTGACATTTAGAGGATTGGTCGGTGGTGTTTGTATCATAGTAGTATATCAGAGCAAACTGTGATGATTATAAATAGTGACCTCGGTAACAATAAATTGCCAGCTCTCGTAGCCTGAGGCTTGTCACGGGGACTATTTAGATTTGCCGTTCATACATCGCATTGCAAGAATAATCATACTAGCACAACCGTTTAATTAATGGTGCAAAGCAAATTTATTTGCATGTGCATTTTTATAAACTATATACTGGTGGTTTGAGAAGCTACTGGAAATAACTACCTAGCAGCCTTCTCGGCTGCGTGACGCAAGCTTGCTGTCTGGCGCTTGTGGTGCCATTGGGTCTGGCACTGCCACTGCCACCGCCACCTCCAAAAATTGTAGAAGAATTTATGATCAACTTTTATCTCAATTTCCCCGCCATCATTTATCGTCATAGAGTAATAGACATTGGTTCGATAGATTGTTTCAAGCGTAGGCTAGACACATGAATGAGTTTCATAGATATAAATAGTTGGTGTAATAATAATGTGTAATAATCAAAAGGGTTTCTACCATTTCCTTAGAAACGTTCTTGTGTTATACTCTTTCTATCGCTATTTGATTCCTATTAGGTTGTTTGGTTCCATGTACATTACTTCTCAGAAAAAACTCGGTACGTATCCTTAGTATTTTAGGCTAGCCGACTCTATAATCATAAATTGGGCACAATTCCCAGTACTGAGCAGGGTGAGACGATATTTGGTTTAATTACCTTAGTTTTTAGCATTGTTTTGTGATAGACTAAACCATATACCAGATGAGACGACGGTTTCGCTCCGTCCAGGACCATTGTGATGGGAGTGAGGTCCTAATGAGTTAGATTTAGCTGCTCAGAACGAAATGACCATGTAGCGCTCATTTTTGTGTAGGGAGCGAAAAGTGTAGATATTTTCGTGTAGACTGAAGTGTGTTTGTGTGCGTGTTGGATGGGTCCCAAAGGCCACCAGGCCAATCCGGCCGTCACCTCACCCTCAGCACCTCAGGAACATTGTTACCAAGCAATTCGGTTCTCGAGCATTTGGTTTTGTGTTGTAGGGAGGAGGGTATACATTTTCTTTTGTAAGAGTACGGATGTGATTTGGATGTATGGATGCTACATAAACGTTTGGTTTGACTATATTAACTCGTAGCCTAGGTCATAATGTAACTAATTTGAATAACGCTTTATAAAGGTATGTGATAGGTGTGGGAGAATTTTGGAACGCGGATATTGATTAATGCATGTACAATAAACGGGCAAGACTTGTTTTTTTATTGTCGTATAAGCCATAAAGGAAAGGGATGGGTGGATGTACGTTCGCCTCAATGTGCTTGCAATGTAGAGGGCTAATTCCTGCTTGCCTTGCCACTTATCTAGTAACACCTGTCTAATGGAGGATGCGCGTGTCAATACTTATAGGTCAGGTACGTTCTGGGCAAAGCACGACACAGACCGAGCTATTGGGCATTTATCTAGCCACTGAATACCTTAAGCTCAATGGTGGTGGAGTTGGCAAATTAAGCCACATTTATAAACCTGCGTCCAAGCGTACTCAAACCTCTATTAATTTAACTTTTGTGTACTAGGCTCAGGTGCGGGTGTACAACAGAGATGTAGCAAATTTCGCAGTTGCCATCGTGTTACTACTCCCCACCCCCTACTTGTGTCCTTCCGTAAGATAATCACCACTAACATTGTCATCAGTTGCAGCTGTAACGATTAAGTAGCAGGTGGTGTGCAGGCGGAAATTGGGTAGAGTGGTCGAAGCTGACGAGCAGCTGGACTGCTTCAACCAATTTAGAGTAGTTCCTCTAGGAGTGCTCCTGGACGTTACCTAGGTATTTATATGTACATGTTATATTATGTATATAGGTTATTGTAAACAATTGGTTATGGTAATATGTAAATTGAGTTAAGATTTGAACAAATTTAGGGGTGATGGGAGAGTAAAGTCTGCCAGTGAAAGAGTGGGCGGGGTGGAAGTTCCAGAGAATTTCAAGGCCATCCCAGCTATTGATTGGAAGATCTTGTATACTGCACTCTGCTCGCCACACGATCCTCCTTTTCTTGCTGAAGTTAACTCGTTTGGCAAGTAAGGTGATAAATGCTATACCAGTGACACTATAACACTTGAAAGGGATATGAATTATGGAGTGAATAAACTGTGCCTAACCACTTGAATCATCGGGAATCAAACTTTTACGTGCAATAAGCAAGATTAGCTGCTCTGACAAGTCCCAAGTGGATGGGTCGTTAGCAGTAGTTTATAGCTGAAATTATTGTATTTTGTTGTTAATTGTTGGTATAGGTAAGGCGATTTATGCCACTAGTATAAAATTGTATTTTTTAGAAATTTCTTTAATTTCACTTTGTTGAATCTGTTGTATACAGAGGTGTTTGTCCTTTTCACAACTTTGGTAGAATCTGCAAGCTGCTGGTTGATATTTTAGTCAGTTGTCCTCTGACAAATCAATAAATTTATGGTTACATCTCTTCAACGTTATGTATAATTATTAATAATTTCATTGTTCTACTTGTGTACGACTTTTTCTGAACCAGTGTTAAGTTTTTAAGTCTGTACGTGCATAATTTGAATCTAAGAGTTCTTACCTGGAGATAACATATGTATACAATACATTCTCCCTTCTATAGATTGTTATGTAAGATATCAGAAGCCACACAGTGCTTAAGGGCATAGAAGA